ATCAATGTCTGTCTATATAGGAGGTACCTGGGTAGTATTCACCGCAACGCCGAAATAAAGCTTTGACCCGGATCGAAATCTTACTCTTATCCCCAACATAATATCCCACCCGCAAAAAAATTCTGTTAAGATTGTTCGTGACGTTTGTGGAGCCACGACAATCAAGTGGAAACTCTTCAAACGTTCTACGAGTCTTCCATAAGGTGGATAAGTATTAGCCGCGAGGTCCTTGAACCTTAGATCTATGATGTATGGATGTCAATGCTTCCGAAGACAGTTTGACCGGTTCTACATTATACGATTTCATTACCTTAGGTAGGTACATATATTGACCGCTTAAAGTGAAAAGGAGAAAAGAAAAACGTGTTTCTCTGTAACGAATAACCTACAAATGGATAAGGTAACTACCTACCTAAACTACCTAGGTAATGGAAGATAAAAGAAAGAAAGAAAGATAAATAAATGAATGAATGAATAAATGCTAACCTGGCTTGTCCTGGTCTGGTAATGTGCATCCTACTATTTCGGGTAGTGTTCAATTTCAGGTGCAATTAATCTACCTCATAGTACTATGCACGCCGTGAATGTACAGTACATTGGAACCACATTGAACAAAAATGTCTTGACAGGGGTAAGATGTAGCACATGCTGAACTCGACAGGGTTGCCAAGGGGCTTATGCTTGTTTCATTTTCTTCCATGGGTAAGATACATAACATGCATGTTTTCTGATATTTCTACATGTCTACATGTCTACCTGTCTACCTAAACCGTATATAGAAAAAAAAAAAGAAAGAAAAAAAAAGTATTCATGTACTGACAGGCCTCCCCCCGGCCATGTTAGCCAAGCCCTTCTTATTCCCTGTCCCCATTTTGGGCTGCGTCACTGTGGTCCTACTAGGGTTATTGGGGGGATTATTTTTGTCGCTCGCTCGTGAAGCTTTTTGCGACACGGTTTGACATGGCTCAACAAGTACCTCCCATACCATGTTCGCACGGTAATCTTACTGAGAGATTAAGAGGTTGATACATCTTAACCTATGTACCAAGAGTCTGGCGGTGTACTTCGTAATGCCAAAAAAGTCTTGTTGTAGTCTTGTAGATAGTCTAGGTAGTGTATATGGTACTAGTTGATATTACATGAGCCTTGGAATGGCTACCTTAGGTAGGTAAGTATCTCGCTCATCTACCAAGAAGGCGATTGTTATACATAAGGCGGCCTGCTCCCATCTCCCCCAGATCTCTTGCTCATCTCAAATTCATCTGACAGACCAACAAGATCAATAACGAAGCAACTATAACTTCTATATTCGAACACTTCATCTAAACAAAAGCTTATCTTGCATCTTTTTGACGCTTGCGCCTCAGCTAACTAGCTTAACCCGCTACTTGCTACTCATCTATAAGCTAACTCATCTCTCACAACTTAAATAAAACCACCCAACCCAAACACATATCACAATGGCCGGCATGACCCCCGAGTTCGATATGTCTTCCCAGCGACCTTCTCAGCTCCCGCCTTGCCCGGGACCCCCGCCTAGCCGACCTCTGCCACCTCTACCGAAGAGTGGCTAAGTTGGTGCTACTAGTGAATATACTGCACTCGAGTCCTCCAGACTCGCCGATAAGTGCCGGCCGTCGACTATTACTACCAATGGATCGACGAAGAGGACACATAGAAAGCCTCGATAGAAGCAAGCAGTTGAGGATAGGATCAAGGCGACCAGAATGACATGGGCAATCATTATTGGATGTGCCATCGGGGAGGAATTGTTAGGGTTCCGCTCACTTCCATTCTGCACATTACCAGCTCTCGAACTTTCATCATATAAAGGTGCATTTCGGGTATGCAAGTGATCGCGAGCGGTGCGTTGCATTTTCATGCGCGCTTCAAAAGACTTCGCTCCTGCTTTCCGCACCCCTGGCATTGCTACGGCATCGTTCGTTCGTTCGCGCGCGCGCGGACACATGCACGAACCCTGCATCTACATTTAATGAGCGGCGGATTGCAGCATCATCCCATGCCCACCACAAAGCCGTCAACATACCACATCGTCGAATATGCACCGCAATCTTCCTAACTCTGCGTTTCGCTCGTAACATTACTTGCTCCGCATCTCCAGAGCTGGGCTCAACGGATCAACACCATACATTCTCTACCTAATCATCGCCCCCGGGCGTTGATCTGTACTATTTCACGGGGGTATAACACACTTTTAATATTGGGCCTTCCAGCCGCAATGTAATTGTATGGAACAGTTATCAGTCACTTTGTCTGATTGGGAATATACGGGGTCATGCTAGTGACAACGGGGTGTTTTTGGCATTTCACATTTTTGTTTTATTTAACGCGTCGAACTGTACTTATAGAGATAGCATCGCCGAGGCCTCTTCTTGTAAAGAAGAAGGACCTCGCGTGCGCTGGATACCCCCACGGGAGGATAACGGCCGACTTTCACGATACGGGCATGGGCTTGGGAGGGGGGTTGGTGAACGGAACCATGAATGATATCGGGAAGATCTGCATTGAAGCAATCGGGCCCATTGGAATGATACGATCAAAAAAAAATTTAACTATATTTTCAACTCATATTTTCAATGCATTTGACTGACTACCCAGTTAAAATATAATGAACGCTGTACTAAAGGACCAGCTATCTTTTTCCCCAACATAAACTTAACCTCATTTGCTCTCCAAGGTGACTTTGACATTGTCTCATGCCATCTCATCCCTGACCTCGGTTATGATCTCGGCCTCTAACTTTTATGCATTGATATTTAGGTATATTGGGTAACTCTACAAGTGGGCCACCACCTACTCTTTTTTTTGCACGCTTGTCTTAACCGAATACCATGAATGAATGCGAGTCATTGTCTCTTTTTTTGGTCACGGTTTAGGACGTAAGGGCCATGCAAGTCGGTGAATCAGGGCTAGTTAAAGCCCACCCCATCTAGGATTTCGAAATTCAAATGCAAGTAAGTTCCCAACCCGATACCTCTCTCTTCGGATCCAGACGCCCTACGGCAACGCGCGCGGCCTGCGAGGGAGAAAGAGGGGCTATTTGCAACCTGTGTATCCCAACATCGATCCCTTACATCATCGTCGCAAATTCCGGTGTCGTGATTCGACAAATTCTAATCGCCGTGGTAGGAAATAGATTCTCTTGGAGCCTCGGGATCTGAGTTTTAATGAGTGAAGCTCTCTGATCGCCGTCTAGACTAGCCATTAGACTACCCGTATGCCCGTCGCCCGGGATGAACTGACGGGTGTGGCAGCGCAAAGCATGTTACTATGTTTGGTCCCTGGGTGGGAGGAGGATTTGGCAAGTCAACGCGATTTACTATACGTAACACAATCGAGGCTGTTAAGAGTAGTAACTAACATTTGTCTGTTATCCGGTACACCATGTAAGTGCCCAGCTACCCTAAGCACAATAATACATGATGCTCGGATGGGGTAAAAGCGACGTGTACTATAGTATATGTATTATACGCCTCGTGAGAGCATCACATCCCAAACCTACTACATAGTAATTACCGAGGCGGTCAACCGTACGTTAGGGCTAAGCCTTAACATGCGATTATATAGACTATCCTCCCTTCCTCAGGTGGGACAGGAGCGCTATATCAGTAGTCAATGCTGGGCATCAGGCGGCATTGCATAGAACTAGAGTTGGAAGACTAATAATGCTTAGCTGTAGACGTTATAGACTACATTATGCTAGCCTTATCTAAGGTGGATTATACGAGGCTGTACTTGAAAGAAATCCTGTAAATAACTCCGCATCCCGTCCACGAAGACGGAGCACAGCGCGGCGGAGGGCGAGCGGAGTGGGGCGGAATCATCGCAAGCCCGCCCATTTCTGGCTTACATGGTTTGTTGTATATCGGGGTTTTCCAAGAACATCTTAGGGAATATCTTAGGGCTATCATACAGTACCAGGGCTACTTTCTACTAATGCACATAGTATGCCACCAAAGCAACCGGGAAGTCAAATCACATAAGACTTAAAGTACCTAGGTAAACCAGTACAATATTAAAGCAACCTATCACAAATTAGGGCACACGATCACAGACCCGCGTGACTCAATCCTGCAACACATCGTCGCGCGCAAAAGAAAGATTTTCATTACGAAAAGGACAATATTTGGTGATAATCCGGTGCCGTGTCTTTTGTAGGCCTGGGTTTTGTCTTTCTTTCCTTTTCTCCTTTTCTTTTTCTTCTTCCTCCCCCCCCACAGATCGTCGTGATCGGAATTAAAAAAGTACTGTACATACTTGCATACCTTAGGTACATACAGCCATACCTACATAGGCTCACGCAAGAGTTAGACTAGCCTAGACGGGATTAATTTGAGTCGATAGACAAGTCTCAACAAGTCTTAATCCATGTCCATGCGTACCTAACCTAATATATGTATGTTTGTCGGGTATGTATGTGTTAGGTATTCGAATTTTGTCTTGTTATTCCAAGCTAAAATATAATTTTAATATCAAGACAATTTTTTTTAAAAAAATCGGGGAGGCGGGAATAAGCAGCAAGTCTAACTCGACGATCTCTTTCCCGTCGGCTCTTCGTGAGACATAGTAAAGTCGGCTTTTGCACTTATTCCAAACCTTCAACACCAATGCGCATTCGGTGCGCCTCTGATTTTGACTTAGTGTAATCTTTTTAAAATTAATATATTTTCTTTTCTATCCGTTCTTCTTTTCTTCTTCTTTTTGCCACCCCCTGGATCATCAGGGGGAGGCGAAAAAAGATACTTGTAACGTATAGAAAAGATGAAGAGTAACAATGGGTTGAATTACTTAATGTATGGAAGAAAGCTCGAATTAGGTACCTCTAGTTAGGGTAGTTATGTTAGGTATAGGAGGTACCTCACAGATGTATCGTCGCACGCAAAATGGAAACCACCGGTAGACCGGCCGATAAGTAAATTCGTCTTCGGCCGTCCGAACTGTAATAATGACGTCAATGAAATTGTCAAAATTCTTTTGGCATTTATCACCACGTGCACTGGACCCTGAAACGGAGCGATACCTAAATCCGGGGATGATTTTCGACATTGTTCATTGTTTCCAATTCCAAATCACCACGAGATTTACAAAGTACAATGTATTATTATTTCTTGATCATTGCAAGCTCAGATTTGGTACCTTAGGTCTAGGTAGTTAACTCATATCACTCATATCACACCATTCGACCTTTCTAATTGGTTAATTATGTCTTAGGATTTTTCTTGTTTCTTCATTCAACCTGGACACCGACGACGGTCCCAAAATGTCCCTTGAACTTCACGTTTGGGGCTCAGCATTTGGCTTCGATTCTATTGATCCCGAATGTCTAGCCGCCATTGCATGCTTCCGAAGCTGCATTCCCCGCCAAGATTGGACCCTGATCGCCAGCAACGACGCTGCGGTCAGCTCAGATTGTAGGGCCCCATCTTGATCCTGTCTAATTAAACAATGCCCATCCATGATTATATCCACCTTTGGAAAAAGAAAAAAAAAAGAAAAAAAAAAAAAAAAAACTCTCTTCGCGCTAGGTTGACATCGAGGTTCTGAAAAGCTGATCAAACTATTGGTAGACCGCCTCCCCGCCTTAGGTCATAAAGGTAATTGGGCATCTGGGTATTCAGATATCATCTCGTACCTTACCAAACATGGTATTCTACACATTGACGATGACCTCACACCGCTGCAGAGGGCAGATTCCCTCGCCTGTGCCTCTTTACTAACGGCTCGTGGATCTGGTCTGCTCGCTATGTCCCTCTATGTCTCTCCCAGGGCATGGGTTGAGATGACTCGGCCTGCCTATTCATCCCTGCTGCCATTCCCGCTCACGTGGACTGTGCCTCCAGCTGTCCGTGCCGCCGCTGTCGAAAAGGCTGAACATCTTGGCATTGGCTACCTCGCGGCTGAAGTAGATGCCGAGGAATCGTCGTCTGCTGGTCTAGTCGAAACAACTTCGACCGGATTTCTCCGGCTTCGGGATCGTCTCGGTCCCAGCAACACTATGCAGCCCGAGCACACAGCCGCTATTCGGTTCCAACATTTCGCAGAGGACTTTTACTCCGTCTTGGATGAATTTCGAGGGGACAAGATGTTCTTCCTGCGGGATGACAAGCCATCATCCATCGACTTTTTAGCCTATGGATACCTTCAGCTGATGCGCGTGGAAACGCCGCACCCCATTCTTAAAAACGCGCTAGAAAAATCCTATAGTCGCTTAGTCGTATTCATAACAGAACTGCGTTCCTATGGCCACGATAGGGAATTGCCGTGGAGGGAGCCCAAGGCGAGGGGTGCGCTCGGGTTGATTGGTCGCTTTGCCGAAGGATCAATCGAAGCCATTCCGGGCGTCGGTGGCAGCTGGCGAAAGTGGCACAAAGGTAGCGTCGATACCCGGAACACCGATGACGTGAGGGATCCTACTCAGCTGATAGTCGCCGTCGGGGGAGCTGTCACGAGCGTCGTTGCGCTAGGCGCTGTGGCAATCTTTCGCGCCTTGTCACCCTTCGGTGCCAGCACGCATCGCTTCGAAGCGGCGAGGGAAGACAGAGCCAGACTGCGCCAATTTGGCGAAATAGGTTCAATATTAGACGGGCTACCTATATAGTGACAGACCAAGAATTTTCCGTCTAGAAGCAGTACCACGCACGAAGGGGATATCACGAAAGAGGCAGTTGAGGTTGTGTCTCAGCCCGGCGCATCTCCAAAGAGGGATATGTATCCCGTGGCTGAGCCTGGCTTTCAGTCGAGTGACCAGTCATAGTAAACCACGCTTGTGTGACTGTACAATTGCGAGATAATCATGCTATGATTTCATATGTAATGACTTTCGACGTTTAAGCATTAGATACCACCAGGAAGAAAGAGAATTTTCAACTAAAAGCTACTCCTAAGCGTTAGTACCTAAGGTGCTATGCCTTCTTGTTTCGAGAGATTACGCTTCGTTTCCATACGGTAACTTCATCGTGTTGGATCTGATAACTAGTATCAGCAAATTGCACCTTTCTCATGTTATAGCTAACCGTATTCCGTTCTTATGCGCGAATAGCTAACCCCCGAGGGCTGAGGCTCTGCGAGTTGGTATATCTCAACAGATGTAAGTACATACCTAGCTATACGAAGATAACCTAATATATGTTCTACACGAAGCGTAGGACTTACTAAGATTTATGGAGAATCTATGTAGGAAGGAATGCTACCTACCTCCTAGGTACCTAAGGTAACTAGGCTATATCCAAGTGGCGTTTCTTACTTCGTACAACACGCAGCTCCTATTTTTATACCTACCTGAGTTAGGTATCTACCAGGTACCTAGGTGTAAATGCAAGAAAAACGCACTTTCGCGCATGTCAGACGCGGATAAGGATTCCCCAGCGCGCTTCTAGAAGCCAGCCCTGTCCCGGGAACGAAAGTACTGTACTTCAACCGACGGTCAACGGAGGAGGGTACCTACCTAGGTAATGTATCTGCACATCGGTTTTCGGACGCCGGGGTAGGTAGTTCGGGAATATCCTTATGATGGCTGTTCTGGAACTTTTGACGGAGGCGGGGTTTATAAACTGTGAGCGGCTGGATAGGAGGTAGGAGGTACCCCTATAGGGACTGAGGTGATACCTACCTACTTGAGTTTTGACGGAATGGAAATACTGCTGCATATGGTTTAAGGCTTCGAATAATTATCCTGGCCCTTCTTGTCGTGGGTACTCGTGCATGCTGGCCCTTACGCGTCGTGGTGTTTCGTGTAACTATCCATACCCGGGCTTATCAAGATATCTCGTAGCGGATGGATTTTTCAGAATGTCTTTGGACTTAGTACCTGTGAGGCTCAAGGAGCCCTGGGTACGGCGTTAGGCTGTCATGTCGGATATTTAAAGGTATTTCATATATACGAACTCAAATTAATACCTCGTTAAGGGGGTTAAGGTTTTGGCTTATTCACTTGATAGTCTTGGAAGGAGAGCTGTCCCTTACGGATGAATGGTAATTGGTAATTTCTTCTAGCCGTGATGTTTACCGTTGGTTCAGTAAAAGCATTCATAAGTAGTTGGTTATATAAATAGATTCTTCTATCTCCTCTCTTCTGCTGACAGGTACCTTAGGTACGTTTCTTGGACACACAATGATGCAGTATATGAAATGAAGAATATGAAGACGAGTTTTGCTTCGGAAACCCAACTACTTGATTGGGATATCTGTTCAGTTTCATCAACTATGAGCTGGTATTTAATTAAAACCGCTTCAAGTTTGTGAACCTACCTTAGGTTAGGTAGGTATAGTAGTTACTGACATTAGGAGCCCAGGATCTAGTATCAAACTGAAGCTTGGGAAATAATGCTGGAATAGCAACTGGACTACTCAACTAATACAAATAAATCTTCCCCCTTAATATCATGAGTTGCAATATTCGGGTCTCATATCTTGACCAGCCATGTTTAGCAGGAACGGAATCTAGCCAGTTATTCATATAAACTATGACGAATGGACGTTGTGCTCGAGGCAATTTAATGTATTTCTAAAGTTTTTATGCTCACACTCTAGCCTCCTTCGTGGCTCTTGAATGTGTCTCTATTACTAAGAGTCTCTAGCAATTAGACTATGCTGACGTTATACCGGCGATACCAATAAGGCTACTAGACCTGTCGGATTTCTTTCCCAACCATCTCGGGCCGTTCAAGTTCCCACTCATCCCGGAGTACTGCGAATGTTAAGTCGCTGACTAGCAGACTCTGACCAAGACTCCAAACCAGAGTAATGGCGTAGAAGAAGTTTGCATTTCCGCTACCAGCGTAGATCCATAGGTAGTAAAAGGAGGGGCCCAGAAATGAGGAATAGAGTATAGTTGAAGCGGCTAAGAAGCTGTATCGTAAGAGCGGAAATATGTGTCTAAATAGTGGTACCATGGCAAGGAATAGACTGGTATCGGCAATGTTGGGATATGGCTTAAAGATGGCGAATAAACCGAGGAGTATGGTTAAGACGGCGAGTGGTTGAGACCGGATCCGAATCGAGAGTCCCCCCACGTAGCAAGAGAGGTGCAACCAGAATACGCCAAGAAAGAAGGCGCGAAAGCTGTCAAACATTTCGATGAAGAAGTACCACCAAAGTCCAACGTTGGGCGTCAGGTCGGTCAGCGTAAGCTGGATCCCGTATGTCGAAGCAAGGAATTCCCAGGACCCGGTTAGGAGATAGGAAGCTCCGAACAGGACCGAGAGACAGACAATGACAGCTGCCACGTTAATACCGGCAAATTGTAACAGTGACGGGGTCCTTCTCGAGATATGTTGCCGGTCGTAGGCTAGTAGGATTAACGGTGGGAGGAGTAAAATGGGATACATGGATAAGTAAGTAGCGAAAGAAAGAGCTAGCATGGAGGTAAAGGGGTTGCCAGCTATAGCCTTCGCAATCGCATGTAGTATAGCACATGTAGTGAAGACATTGGTTGGCCGACCCATGCACGTCGCGATGGTGAATGGGTTAAAGAGGAAGCTATGACAGATTCTCATTTAGTCGACATTCATATAATAGTCCGCAATTGTAGTATAATGACATACATAGCTGCGACGATATAACCGCCCCATCTCCTCTCCTTACGAGCCGATGTGAAGAGCTTCGATGCGCTAGCTTCAGCCGACTCGGCGATCTTGTAAAGCGCATCGGCACTTAGTAAGTCGACTAGAATGTAGAGGATGTATGCGAATATAGGATACGTCGACGGGTCTGGGAGGAGAGAGAAGAGCGGGAGGAGTAAGGGCGCTTGGTGGTAAACGCCTCCATCGTACGGAGAGACATTGTGATTATATAGGAACAAGCCTTCTTGCACTGTAGAGAGACGATGAGCTTAGAAACTAGCTAGTATATTAATCAGAGGTATTGAAGGATTATTATTATTATTGTCTTACGTCGCTTGAAGCTTGTGACGGGAGTCGAGATCTCGACGCGGGCCGTCAGCAAATCGGGGAGTTCAGGAAAGACGGCGAATAATATTAGTCGCAGTAGAGCGGCAGCGGTATATAGACCAGCTGTCTCTTTGAAATGCATTTTATCGCGACTCATTATGCAATGCCATCGTCGTGGATGGTTTAAGAAGTTGTTGTTGTTACCCTTCAAGTGGAAATCGGAGTTGAAAAGTTCCAATGAATTTCAGTTGGAAGTTACCTGAAGTCGTTACTTAACTCGTTCGGACGCAATTGGCATTCTGGCATTCTGGCATTTCAGGGCAAGGACAGGGATCTTGGTTGCTTTTGCGGGACGGCGTTGGTGGAAGCTACTCTTATCGATAATAAAGGCTAAGACGATTTAGTATTAGTCCTAGACCCCTAGACCCCCGGGAAGCGGTCAGCAACGGCAATTCCAATCTTCAGAGCTAGCAAAAGGAAAAAAAAGTTGCGCCCCGCCAAACTTTTTTCTTAATCAAATCGCCTTATAGTTGCTATCTTTTGGCCCATCCAACTATTGAATTGCTTCGAGATTTAGACAAAACACAATAAAAATTCACCGGATCTAAATCGCCAAAAAAAGAATAAAAATAAAAAATGGGAAGGATAAAGAAGAAGGGTGAGGCGGGAAACGCCAAAAACTATATCACCAGAACCCAAGCTGTAAAGAAGCTCCAGATCAGTCTCCCAGATTTTCGAAAGCTATGCATCTGGAAAGGGTAAGATATTTCATATTTCCTTACGCCCATTGGGACAATATAATGGTTTAGGTGTCTACTCTCAGAAGATTGCTAACGTGAGCGTTAGAATATTCCCCCGAGAGCCGAGAAGCAGAAAGAAGGTTTCCAAAAGTTCGACGGCCTCTACCACCTTCTACTATGCCAAGGACATCCAATACCTTTTGCACGAACCTTTATTACAGAAGTTCAGAGAGCAGAAAGCTCTTGAAAAGAAGATCTCAAGGGCGCTTGGCCGTGGCGACGTTAGCGACGCAAGTCGACTTGAGCGCAATGCCTCAAGGCCTGAGAAGACTGGCAAACCACGATATACTCTCGACCATGTTATTCGAGAACGATACCCGACTTTCGTTGATGCCGTGCGCGATCTTGACGACTGTCTCTCCATGCTCTTCCTTTTTGCAAATCTCCCATCCACATCCACTGTCCCAGCCAAGATGATCGCGCGCTGTGAACGACTTTGCCTCGAATTTCAGCACTACTTGATCGTATCGCAAAGCTTGCGCAAATCATTTTTATCCATCAAGGGTATCTACTATCAAGCGAACATCCAGGGCGAAGACGTTCTATGGCTCGTACCGTACAAGTTCAACCAGAGGGTTGTAGGAGATGTCGATTTCAGGATCATGGGTACCTTTGTCGAATTCTACATGACCCTCTTAGGGTTTGTCAACTTTCGGCTATATACCTCAGTCGGCTTGAAATACCCGCCAAAGTTCGACCAGGCTAAAGACGATGCAGCCGGAGAGCTGGGCGCTTTCAGGCTTGAAGGCAATCTTGCGACAGCCGTTTCAAACGAAGCTCCGGCGCAACTAACGAACGGAGAACCGGAAGCCGGACCAGACCCTAAGACTCAGGCTGAAGTGAACAAGCTTATCAAGGAGATGAGAGAAGTCGATGTCGACGGGGAGCGAGTTGAAACTAGCGCAGATAAAGAAGAGTCTGCGACAGACGTCATTGACAAGTTCGAGCCTGCCGCACCGGGAGGTGATATACTACCCCAGCCCAGCTACTCGGGAAGCGAACCCGAGTCGCTTTTTGCAAACTGCACATTTTATTTATCTCGAGAGACGCCCAGACAGCCGCTCGAATTCATACTCCGTGCGTTCGGTTGTAAACGTATTGGTTGGGATGCAGTCCTAGGTGAGGGCGCATACACAACCAATGAACGAGACCCATCCATTACTCATCAGATAGTTGATCGTCCAGTTATACAAGCTGTAACGGGAGAGGGTGGCGATGGAGAGGACAACCAGACTTCACAGAAACTAGCATCGAACCAAAGAATTCCTGGTCGAATCTACGTCCAACCGCAATGGGTTTGGGATAGCATTAATGACGGGGAAATGAAACGACCGGACCTTTATGCTCCTGGTGCTCAGTTGCCACCGCATTTGAGTCCATTCGTACAAAATGCCCAAGGAGCGTATGATCCGACAATACCACTAGAAGAGCAACAGACTGAGGGTGAGGCCCTACAGGACAGCGAAGAAGAGTCGGACGAAGATGAGGAGGTAGACGGTGATGAGGATGATGATAATCTTGTGGTTAAGGGGGCGGAAACTGCAGCTGACAGCATGGATATCGCTCAATCAGATGACGATGACGATGAAAATAGCGCCAATGATACGTTTGGCGGATTCTCCGACGAAGCGAAAGCTGCAGATGGATCAGAAGACGAAGAGCAGGCCGCCGAATTGCAATACCAGCGTGAGCTCGAAGCCGAATTAACGGGCAAGCCTGTTAAGCAAACCCCATCAAATCCTCAGTCCAAGGCCAAAGTGGAAGCGAGAAAACGACTCGCGAAGCAAGCCAAGGAGGAGGCTGAAGAGCTCGAGAGGGCAAAGGGAATGCTTAGCAAGAAGAAGAGAAAGCTGTTTGAACAGATGCAATACACAAACAATAAGAAGAGCGCAGAGGACCAAAAGCTCAGGGAGAAGAGGAGAAAACTGGAAAAGCAGAAGGCTAAGGGCAAGGCGTAAATGGTTATATAGAGATTTATCGGATAGCTGTTTTGATAATACCATTGCAAATGTTTCTCGTAAATTGATTATGACTACCACTGATATTAAAAGGTGAGAATCGAAATAAATCTTTAGTAGGAATAGTATCATGGTCTCTCTTTTTGGAGTTTTGGAGTTTTGTGGTTCTAGTCAGTTGGAAAATCTTATATTTTTCGATTGGAGAATGTCGCCGTGACTAAAATTTATTTATTTAACATTAACAACATTTTTAACAGTGCGTTAATCTCATCGCTCATAAACGTCGCCAATGCCAGTTTTTACCAATATTCAACTATATTCAGTCTAAGACCACCTAATCTTAGGTGTTAAAGCGATATGGAATTAATCGCAAATGAGTCGGACGAATATCTACCAAGTGACGACTCGGATGATTTTTCGGATGAGGATGTGCGAACCAATAGGTGGCACGGTCCCAAGTCTACATGGCAGCAGTTCAACCACCAGGAAATTGATACATTAACAGCACTTAAGGAAATCCGCGATCGAGACTTATCAGTTCATTTATATAACGCATTTGCGCTTAAGCAGGGGCATAAGAAAGCGCAAGACGGACCCGTGCCTAATAAGGTGTGTTTTTTTTTTCACTTCACTTTTCAAAATAGCAATTTGATTGAATTGAATACGTGCTAACGAATAAAAAAAAAAGGATATCAATAAGGCAACCGGACACCCAGTTCAGCCGGACGACTGGCTGCCGCAACGAGCATGGACGGCTTGGCCTATGCGTGTGGACAAGGTTCCACCGCCGCAGGATAGTGCGAGGACCCTACTGAATGATCGGGATGAGGTGTTTACGTTGAGAAAGGCCGTTCGCGACATGCCGAGCACAGCCCTGGAAGAGATTGTCGGTGCAGAAATTTTAAGAACTGCTAAAGAGAAATTCAACGCTAGGCCTTGGATTAAGCCGGACGTCTCTGCTGATGAGGAGGGAGGCTCAGAATCGCAAGAAGGTATCAACGGCGAAGATTCAGATGGAGAGACGGAAGCCTCGACTGCATCTAGACGTAAGGAATCTAGGTCCAGGTCCAGGTCCAAGTCTGTCAAGCTTGAGGGTGCGAGCGGAGATGAGAAGATGGAGGTTGACGGGCGTAAACCCGAGACCGATGCTACTAGCAAACCGCATAGGAAACCACGCTTTGCACCGACAGTTTCGACGGACGACGACCTATCCTACAGTCTTTTGCGCCCATCTGTTCGGCATATTCTCACCAAGCTGGATGCAACACTTACCATTCTCCACAACACCCAGGAATCAGCTCTTAATTATCAATCTGACTCGGCGGATTCGGAAGCATCAGACTCCTCGCACCCCGGCAGTCGTAAGTCGCGATCTAGACCGGGCTCGCAGGCCCCAACCGATGAAAAAAGGCGTCGGGGGAGGCCGCTCGGATCCTTATCTCAGAATCGGTCTCGCGGGCGGTCGGAAGTTCGGGAGGCGACAGCGGCAGCAGCAGTAGCAGCGGAAGAAACCGCGCCGCAGACTGAGGAGCAGGAAAAACCCGCGAGGAAGCGCGGCAGGCCGAAGAAAGCGTACCCTCGGCTCGACGGCGAGACCGATCGAGAGTACACCATCCGCATCGCGAGGTTGCAGAAAAAGCCGATCCCCAAGTTCTCCGACGAGCCCGCCGAACGCGCAGTAGCAGAAGAAGAAGACCCGGCGGGAGATAGCGGCAACTCGGGCGACGCGGAGGAGACTGCTGCCGAGGCGGCTCGTGGGCACTTAGCACGGCGGAAGAAGAACAAGAAGAAGGAGAAGGAGGCCAATAATAAAGCAAGCCGGTCTCCCTCCCAAGCCTCATCTGCTTCTGGGGGCAAGCCCCGCAATGCTCAAAGGTCCGGACATTCCAGAACACGTCTCGGCCTGCGAGACTGGAGAGACGTTCTCGGCGCCGCAGCGCTGGCTGGGTTTCCCGCGGACGCGGTCGACCGCGCAGCGAGGCGGTGCGCCGACCTCTTCGGCCAGAGCATGACGCTGCACACCCTCCCCGAGGGCCCGGCTGCCTCGTCATCGGGCCGGAAAGCGCCCCTGGGCAGGGCAACTACGTATGTGCCCGGAATGCCGCGGCCGCCCTTACTCGACGAGGAGGAAGAAGAAGAAGAGGGAGAGGGAGAGAAGCAGCAGCGACGTATCCGCGCTACGAGCATGGCGGCGCCCAGCGCTACGTCCGAAGACGAAGCGGGCCCGTCGCGGACAGGAGGCGGTGCACGCAGTTGTTCGCGGTCGCGATCCGTGTCCGCGGCGCCGGGATACTTCACGTGTTCGTTCCCGGACTGTCCGCGAGCGGCGGCGGGGGAAGGGTTCCTGCGTCGGTACAACATGCTGCGGCACATGAAGCTAGTGCACGGGTATACTGCGGGGGCGGGGGCGGCGTCGGAAAGGGGCAGCGGAGACGAAGCTGCTGCGGGGACGGGGGTGGGGACGGGGACCGCGATGGGCGCGGGTATGCCGGAGGAGATGGACAGCGAGGACGAGATGTACGGTGCCGTGCACGTCGATTGGTTCCTGCGGCCGATCAAGATTCGTCGCGGGTGGCGGGCAAATGATATCAAGGAGGATTCTAGGACTAGAAGGAGCGGGTATGGGCGTGCACGGGGGAGAAGTCGGGGGAGAGAAGGGGATACTGGTGGTAAGGACGGCGATGGGGATACGAGGATGGGGGAATAGGAGTGATTGAGTGAGAGGTACCTTGGTATGGTATGATATGAAGTGAGAAGAATACCGTAGTTTGGGAATGAGGTATAACAGCTGTTTCAGTTTGGTGTCGCTATTGACATAACTTTCATGATATTTACCTGCCTAGAGGTAAGGTACCTAGGATGGAGGTAGTCTTTATTTCCCGTTTCACATATCCTTCACTTGCACCGCCCCTATCTCCATCACATCACGACTTCTCCTTAGCAGCAAACTGCCTCTCCACCTCATCCGCAAAATCGCCCAAAGTATCGAACCGCCACCCGAACGCTACCTGATCCTTCAACTCGGCATAGCTACCCCCCACGCCCTGCGCCTCCTCGCGCTCCCCACCCCTCGATATCCACACGCTCGGCAGCCCCAGGTCCTTCGCGGGCACGTGGTCGGCGACCAAGCTGCGCGCGACGTGCAGCAGCTCCCCCTTGTCCCTGTCGACGCCGAGGTCCGCGCGCAGGTGCTCGAACAGGTACTCGAAGTTAGCGCGCGCGGGCTTGTACGACCCGATGTCCTGCGCCGTGTAGACGGCGTCGAAGCGGGCGGGCGCGAGCCGCTGGCCGACGGTGGCGGCGATGCTGGCGTTGTCGATGTTGGACAGGATGGCGAGCTTGTAGCGGGCCTGCAGCCGCAGGAGCGCGGGGACCGTGTCGGCGAACGGCGTCCAGGTCCCCGGCGAGTTGCCGAAGGGCTCGGCGATGCTGTCGGGCAGGCCCGGGAGCCCGAGCTCCTCGCGCGCGAACTTGGTGATGGACTCGGCGAGGATCTCGTTGTACGGCTCCATCGGCTCGTCCTGCTCGCGCGCGTCCGTGATGGCGTTGAGGCGCCGCATGGCTTCTATCGGCGGGTCGGTGTTGAGAGGGTGGTCGGGTGCGAGCTGCGAGGTGAGCATCCGGACGGTGCTTAGGAAGCCGGTTTCCCAGTCGATGAGTGTGCCATAGCAGTCGAAGCTGGAAGGAGGTATGTCATATGTTAACATGAGGTACTATGGATGTATACCTGTCTCTGGTTGCTGAACAAAGAAAAAGAAAAAAGGAGTATATTCACCTTAGAGCTTTGAAAGCTGTGAGGTCAGGATATTTACTTCCAGACGCCATACTTCCTCGTTAAATATGCTAACTACGGTAGTAGTCAAAACTAGGAGATATTTCAAGGTTTCTGAGCAATTTCAGAGATAGTTTAATAAGCATTTATTCTTCCTCAACTTTTCTGTAAAGTCTAAAATTCAGTCGTGGAGTTTTCTTGCTCTTCAAGCTTTCGCTGGCGTCACCTACGCCTTTATGTACGGGACATTACATCACATATCCTGGATACCTATGCAGGACCCCTCATTGCCTGTCTCCAAAAATATCCAGCTCTACCAATCTGTTCTCTGCAATGCCTTTAGGAGTAGCAAATTATCACGCTAGCTCTCGATCTGAGATAGCTAATTGCCTTATTGAGTAGGTAGATGTGAGGTTACGTTCACCAATTTTCCGGATGCGCATGATGACAAGGGCGCAAATGATCGCCGGAAAGCGGAGATCGGAATACGTTGGGATATCCAATGCGTTCAAGGAGAACCGTAGATACTGCGCTTCATGCGCCTACTTCTATGTACCCAATGTAGTAAACCAGCTCGGGATATTTCAGCCCACAACTTTATTGCTTCTGCTCGAGTAACCACTTTACGCCCTTAACAGTATCTTCCACGAATTCGCGGCTCCTCTCCAACTGCGGCCAGTTGGTCCAGAAATAATGGCCGAAGCCCTTGTACAAGTCTAGCCGTGTCTTAACACCTACCTCCTCTCTAAAAATTCTTTCATAAATCAAAGCCTCGTCTCTTAAGGGGTCTAGCCCGCAGACTTGGAAATACGCCGGCGGCAGCCCGCGGTGTCCACCCTCAAGTCCTCCGTATAAGAAGGGAACCATGCGCGGATCGGACCAAGGTGCCTTGAGGATTTGGGTCATGCGCTCCGCGAATTCGGCACCGGTCTTGATCTTGAGTACTGGGTCTATGTTAGACGTGACGTCCGGATGCGAGAGATACTCTGATCGATATAGCGGCGAGAGCAATGTTGGCGGGGTGAAACACATTATAACTGGCACGCAGAGGTACTGTCCTGTTAAAGGCGGATTAAGCTTCTCGTCTCGTGCGATGTGCGCGAGAACGGCTGCGATATTACCGCCAGCTGAACCACCGCCGATGATGAAGCCAAGAGAAGGGTCTGCGCCGAGAGACGTTGCGTTTTGGGCAGCCTATGCAGGTAGCAGTGAGTATATAGGGAATCTTAGAATCCGTAGAAAAGAATGAGAACATAGATAATACCTACCCATTTCAATGCATCCCAGCTATCGTCAATCCAAGTAGGGAAAGGATGTTCTGGTCCTAAGCTATCGCGGTGCACGACCTATTAACTCACTATACTCGCGTCTGAAAGGCGCTTGGTGGCCTAACCAAAACATCTTAATTCAAATCACTTACCGATAGTCGACGTTAACACAGATGGCTCCCAAATCGCGACTGAAAAGCCGGCAGTTGGTATCTTCATCACTCAAATCCCCCATGCTCCACCCGCCTTCGTGGTACATCACGACTAAGGGACTTCCCTGCGTTGGTTTCACCACAGGGCGGTATATGCGGACTATGATCTCGCTTCCATCTCTCACGGGGATCTTGCGATCCTCCTCGCTAACCTGCTCCGGAATCGGACCGGGGATATGGCGGAGATGGTGCTTTTCGCGCAAGGTGGCGGCCCGGTGTGCGCGCTGCGCCGAATGGGACGCATCCCCGTAATACGGATCGGACGGTAGTGGGTCCCGGACCGGACTACGGACCAGTGCCTGTTGCTGTTATGTCGGCAAGCCTTTCTCGAGTTGGAGATGTGTGCTTCGAATAAGAAGCCAAAACTCACGTCTACCATGGCCGGGTCCATGACTCCGTAAGAGAGGAGTTCTTCCTTAGTGCGGGGTGCCATCATTAATATATCACTTAACTGGATGTCCCAGGACGAAGAAAACAGGTACCTAAAATCAAATGGGCAAAAACGAAGTTGACCTGACTTGGGAATCACCGAAGCCTACTATCTCGTTACCAGTTAGAATGGAATGCAAGGCAATGAGGAGTAAACATCAACTAAATGTGGGATGATATCATTTCAGTCCCTTCCCAAGCCTTGGCCCTAAGGTACCTAGGTAATCTGGCTCTCATATAACGATACCTCTGTAGGCGCATCCTTGAAGACCAGTGATATTGATATATCAAATGTTTACCACCACTCGATCGAAAAGAATTGGAGTAGGCACAGAACATATCCTCATATCGCGTAACGGTTTTACAGAGGTTTGATTCTACCTCCCAACAACAAATCAGTTTTGACCTCAACCGGCAGTCCTCGAGGTGGCGGTGGGATCGGGCGACGACAAGCAGTCCACAGTACGGTTGGCAGCTTAGCCAAGTCAACCGACACTTTTCGGCCGAATCACCTGCAATCCACCAATGCCGAGTTTTGTACATCGTGACTTTCTGTGTAAGCTGACGAGATTGGCCTGGGCATCGGGAAGCAGGGAGCTTGAGAAAGGAAGCAATATTTCCAGGATAAGCGTTACACATATAAGCCAGAGCCTGCGGTTGGTGCTTTCGTACTCAATATGTGACATGGCGATGGAGATGGTGGTATTTAGTACGGTCTAGAAGGGTCCCCGAAAGCGGTGTTCTAGTCGTCATCAAACGGGATTACTCAGTCGGGGTAACTGCATTGCATACCGCCTTGTCCTCTCTCCGAGAGGCAAACGGTGTCCGGGTCCTCGGTTCCTTGCAGAGCCGAAAGGCAACCCCCAAGATGTTAAATGCCTAGGTCAATTGACTGCAGCTTTCCATTTCATTCGTGTAAGAGCGGTGTGAGAAGTATCTTTACACTGTCTTGAGAGGGGGACTAATCGTGAATACGTTATTCAAATCATCGATATTACGCCCGCAATTGCGTTCTATATAGCCCCACGGCTCAGTTATACATCCTCAGATACATATCGAGTTGAGGAATATCTGTATAAACTCGTACTGACCCTACAAGCCGGATGCCGTCTTCGTAACACCTTCCGTCCTATTCTAGAAGGTGATATCCGATATATGCTTAACCGCCAGCCTTCGGACCATCACGTCTAAGTTCTCGAACCTTATTATTAACCCCACTAAGATTTGATTGCCGTCACATTGTATCCATGAATGTCGGTACCCGGGACCATCTAATTGAATAGGTATATAAGCCCTAAGGATCCCCTCCAATTTAATGTCGGTAGTTGGACGCAACCACCGCTACTAGTAAGATGATATGCCTACAAGCCTGCTATGGGCCTTGACTGTTGGTTTTTGAAGGTTTAACATTATGAGTGATATAAATTAAGGTTAGGCTCTATAGAGTCTCTTCGAATTCGTTTACTTTCATCTGTTAGTGTTAAGTACCTACCTCTCATCCTTATTAATATGACATTGATAGCGGGTATGTAGGTAGGCACATATGCCTAGAGGTATGTACATGTGTCTTATAGGACTCCTATTAAACAAATGCGAGGACGAGGATTTCACAACGCCTCAGCGGTCAAGCCTATCAGCCTTTTCCAAAATCATAAACCTTATGATCTTCTTCCCTTTTATAGATTCTATGGAAGTGAGTATAGCTGACTTCGTCGACCTCTCCAAATCCACCATTCATATCGGCTATGAGACCGTCTACTTGGAGCACAGAAATATCTTGAATTAATTCAAAGTGGAAATTCTTAGAATTGGTGGTATTAGATTAGGTACCTCTATGTTAGATAGTCACCACGCGGATTACCTGATATTATACGCGCTACTGTAGACTATCAAGAATTAAGGAGATCACTGCTATATACAGGCAGGTATTCTTCCCGTACCTTGGATTATTGTCAATGGCGAGGTTTTGCAGTGTGAACTAGATTTTAACAAGAGTCGCAGTGATGAGATTCGGAGGAAGCTTGGATCGATAAGCCACCTGTTTTATTTACCTCTATTCCGGAAAAGACTCCTAATAAACTCAAAGCAAAGTCTACGTAAGCCTAGGTAGATCGGCTAAATCGAAACCACTTAATATAAAGATCAAGCTGCTACGAGTCTATCTAAAAACCCTAAGACTATGAGAGAATGGTGTTATAGTAAGAATGCGCTATTGAGGCTCTATCGTTACAACGTCTGGACATGATCGTGAGCACTTGTCAAACTCTTGGGAAACTTGATTACTAGAATCCACCGTGTTTGAATGCGTAAAGATCGTTTTCCCCCTAGTTCTATTCTATAGAGGCGATTGGTAAGTGCCTAGTACAACTAGAATCTCTCGTCCCTCTCCACCTTTGTTAGTTTTTCCTACACTTGTTGAGATACTCTTCCAGATCACCCTCATTCATATCGTCATGCCCCCCAGAGAACATGACATGCTTTCGGAACTCATCTCGAGTCCTGTACTTTCGGCGAAGTTGACAGCTGGGCTTAGGACAATAGTAGGTCACATCTAAGGCAAATGACTCCCAGGGTTCTGTTTCTGCCCGCTCGCGTCTGATGTTGACCAGTTCTCTTGCCATTTTGGCAATCTTCTCCTTGATAATATCCTGAGCTAGATAGTTGTCTGTTTCGTTCCTGATTTGATCAAGTGTTGAACTGCCGGAATCCGGTGGATCCCAAGCATCTATAGCAACAGTAGAGAGTCCTCCCTCGACATTTAGCCTCAATCGATGCTCGATATGTTGCCTGATGCATTCGTTATTCCACCCCTGGAAACCATATCTACCTTCAGTGTCAGTCAAGTAATGTTTAAGGCCACGAGCGAAACTAAACCACCTCTTCCCACCCTTCATTTCCCCCTTGTCAGAATCCACAACATGACTATTGCAAGTATCGATTTCGGGATTTCCTGTCGGCGTACTTACGTTCCCTCTGCTCTCCAGGCCACAGCCTATACTGATGAATAGTTTAGGGGGATAACCATGCAGTGCCCGGACTTCGTGGAGAACAATAGAAGAGGGGTTATTGGCAAAGATACCGCCATCGAAATGTTCTTTACCACCTATCTTAATAGGTGCGAAGAACGTCGGGGCAGCGGAGGTTGCGCGTGCAATCTGCCATATTGGTGTCGTGTGGGCAGGGGAAGGATTCATGGGCTTATAGGGGTCGTCAGATCCATCGCCCTCATACTCATGATCGTAACTTCTCCACAGGTATGCCATTTCGAGGCCTTCATTCCTATCTATCGAGAAAGAAAATACGATACTATGCATTTCGTTAGTACGGTCTAAAGCTAGGGTTGAGTTATATTAGGTAGACTTTGAAGAAGACTGGATAGAAGCACGTCACATACGTCCGAGTCCGGTCTTTACGATACTGGAATAGCTCCATTTCGGCTTGATATTCTTCTGGCTTCTGGCCGTCTTTTCCCATACTATTCCGAATAATATCTCGGAACGCATTTTTAGCTTTCTTTGACGAATATTTGGCTCTGGGGACACCGGAAATCATCAGGTGCAACCGCCTTGCTTTTCCGAATACACTGTTACCAAACAGCTTATATTGCTCAAGAGCTTCGTCCACGCTTATGCGAAGTCTACCAAGCATGATGGCCGACAAACTAGGATTCTGATATTAGCACAAGGACATCGTGTGATGAATTCACTTACCCTCCTGTGGAAGTGCCTGCTATATAGTCAAAATAATGGCAAGGTAAGAAGTCATTAAGGGTGCTTTCATTAGAGGCAGATTTCTTGGAAGGATTGGTCCCCATCCACGAGTAGTCGCTACTTGAGCATATTTTCCCGCCAGAATCCTCCATCTCAATCTCCTTAATCTTTAACATCAGAGATTTCAAGACTAAGAGGCTGGAGTAACCACGCACTCCTCCACCATCTATGGTGTAGAATAATCCATTAATACGCGGCCGTCTGGGCATTATGCAAAAAGCTTTTGGACCAAATAGCTTACCAAAAGTCAACACTGTCTTCTTAGCCCATGGACTACCCGGAGCCTCATCGACAACATCTTCATACTTTCGAAATGGTCCACTAAGCCCAATTGTGGTTGAGTGGTTATGACCCACTGGCTCGATTTCAGTAGGCATCGGCGGCAATATGGTGCAGTAAGGGTCAAAGAAGCTTTGTAGAGTGAAGTGGAAGTAATTTTAATGGCTGATAACAGCTCTGGTATTTTCAGACTGGCATTTTATACTGGAGCAGTCCAATACCTACATCAGGGTACTAAGAACTCTGTTCGGGCTATTTCTCATGCTTCTAATCATAGAGCCCCTGACGAGATTACACAGACAGGACGACGAGGCTCTGACCATTCCAACCCCTTTACATTATTCGATTTCGCTTCTTAGCTGGTAATTACGCCTACGTATATGCTCTCGGGTTCCATTTTCGCTACTCTCTAACAGAAATGCTGCAAAATCCCGCTACTCAAGGTAACATAACATTGTCAGATTGAGAACTAATCCACTATGAAAGTAGAGTATAATCGGTACGGTTCGAAGCTCTCTCGAAGGCTCAATGCATATTGGTGCTTCTGTTGAGACTTGTTGGAAATACTCAGAAATACTACTAATATTTCTTTTCCCTCGATTCCAAGATACGCCCCATTATACGTACCTAATGTACCTCGTAAGATCCTAGGCAGAGTAAGGCCTGCTGAGTTCGGTGCACCCCGGTCATGGTGTAATGTTGTGGTAGGACGACTGGAGGCTAGAAAATGTCTGTATAACAATAATACAACGATGCGCAAGGCAGTTTGAAGGACTTTGACCAGGGTAGCGAAATGTCGTACTACGCGAGATGTCCAGTATTCCCTTATTACGACTGAGGCTCAGCTGACCCCTTAAACGTTTATGCATTTGTGCTTACAATAGGTGATATTCTTTCTATACGCTATCAAGGCTAAGAATAATGCCTAGTTGTTACTGATAGTAAGAGAACAGCACGTATATAATGACTGAAACAGTAGTTTTGATAAAAGGAAACACGTCAATGAGAGCATAAACATTCTTTTACCGCTTAGCCAAATAAGTATAACGTCACCCCGTCTAGTCACACTTGTGTTTCTACTCCGCCAATCTGGCAGCTATTCTGACGACTCCTATGACTCCTATAACACCTTTCGCACGACGAAGACTTCCATACCGTACGTGTAAAGGAATGATTGGATCCGAACATGAATAGAAGGTCTGGGAGTAGTACGAGCGGTACAATTCGGAATCATGTGTACATGTGTACCTAGGAGGTACGTATTAGTGTCATGCTGGTGCTCTTCTGACGCCACCGCCATCTTAGCTGTTCATATGCTCATGATAGGAATAGGATAGACGGGTGGCACCACTACGGGCGATGAATCAGCCTACAAAAATGGTTATTAAGTTGGGATGATGCCAACACCCTCCGCTATTCTCAGTCTCACCGCAATTACCAAACCGACGCCTACCCATATTGTTAATCTTTCAAGATTTTCATCTGATTACTCGTCAAAACTCGACTGTCAATTGCCAACTATTAAAAATGGTGAAGAGGGATATTGCTGTTCTCGATCCCAAGCGACAGAAGCTTGTGAAGCTGGATCGAAAGAAATTTGCGGCTATAGACAAAGGTCCAACAGGAGGTATGTTTAAGCATGATGCCGAGTTGAGATTTTCTTCTCTCTACCTAACGAAATATAAAGACAACTAAGAGCTGAGTCAACTAATATTTGGTATTCTAGCTGAGCAATGCATCGACCTTCCACGGCTTAGCCCTATCGTCGATGTCACGGTGCCAGGAGCAGCAGAAAGCCAGACTATCGCGACGGTCCATCTCTGGCGGCTTGGACTCAAATACAATGTCGACAGGCTACTCGGAAACAATAAGCAGTTATACATTCTCAGGGAATAGGTCTAGGCGCCTATGAAAGGCGAAAGGCGAATGGCCAACAAGTTTGGTTTATTTAATTTACGATTGGGTAATCGATGAAGGAGCTCAAAATATATTCAACGGCGCTGGCATCAGTCTCTTGGATGGATATTAGAAAGCGAATTTCATTAAAGCTTTGTAGTATTTTGGTCCTTCTTGCGACTTGTTATGTTGCTTTGTTAGTTCAGGGTAAATGGTGTCCTTGCTGAGATTTCGTGTAAGAAATTTATAGAGCATTACCGCAGTATCCTTGCCAATGTCTATTTGGAAAGTGATTGGTTCCCAATCCACGCAAATGCCACAAAGACATCCTATAATAAATTAGTTTGCTGTTTGCTGTTATCATGTAGGTACGACTGTTGCATACGCCCTTCAAAACTTTCAAACTCCATAGCCTAATGTCAAGGCTCAAATCAATCGGGGCCACACCCAATTTTGCACCAAAACATTAGATAGTCTTGTCACTCCGCGATATTATCACCGCGCGAAATTGTAAAGTCGATCCCTAAGTTACCTCCTACCTAGGTAGGTACCTAGGTAGGTAAGAATCTCCTACACGGCAAATATCGATTGATTTGGAGAACCCCTCCAAAATTCAACTCAACTTTCAACTGCAATACCTTTCAATACTACCTCCTATAGGGAAAGTTTTCTCTACACGACGGGATTGAAGTCAATTAAGGGGAAACTACTGGGAAGATGCGATCCCAGCGATTGCAAACATGAAGCTGTCTAACCTCTTCGAGAGGAGTCGATTCGGACTAACCTTGTTATTATCAATACTGATGCGGCTGAAGGGATCAGCTGGGATCTCATGGTCGGGGTTTGGATTCGTCCATAGTGGGGAAGACTTATCACATAACCCGTCGGCAACGTCGGGATAAGACTCGAGCCATTGAGGGTTTCTAGACAACCACGGATGGTGGGTATCAGAGATAAAAGTACCTACTTTGACTTTAACTAAATTTGTGAAATTGTCTGACCGATTTTAAGAGAATTGCCATATGGACCAGAGTAGAGGGGATAAGATAAAGATAAAGAAAAAGGGGCTAGACGTGACCCCCTTGTCTAGAAGGATTCACCAACCAAGTAATGAAAGTTCTTGAGCAGTCCTCTATTTGTATGTGCCATTCTTATGGATTTTAAGATATGACCTGGTAATCTTTATTTTAATAGTCTAACGTAAGCCTCTTTGAATCTTGTCATTCTAAAACCGGATGTATCTCATAATTAGGCACCTACCTTACCTTAGGTATCTAAATCCCTTTAACAGGTAACATCTATTATGCCATTTGCTTTTTTGTAAAACCGATTGTTTCCTCTAGTATCGTCGTCCAAGTCGGAGTTGAAATGACCGTGTTAACGAGCGCGGTCATAGGGTTATTAGAGGTTTGGGTCCACTGTCAAGTGAGTTCCCTGGTAGGGTATTTCTCATAGAACGACGAAGTTATTTTCCGACCTGTTAGCTTCTTCCCGCCTGACGCCAAATCCGCGGCCCCCGGAGCCTGGACTCTTCCAGCAAATTAAGAATTTAACGTAATAATTTATACCCACCCATCGTAGATTAGCTTCGTTCCAAGTTTTGGCTTGCTGAGCTATCATTCTGGGTTTTCGTGGGTTTCAGAGGAAAGGTCTCGGATGCGTTCTCGTCGACTCGAATCCAGCTGCCAGATGCTCGAGTATAATGAGGATAGCGCTGCTCTTCGGCTTGTGGCCAGCCACGCGCCGTATTGCTGGTATCGGAGGTCTTCGGCTGCTGTCCACTCACGCCCCCGCTCCTGCTCGCACGCACCGACGATAACCCAAGCCAATTCCGAACCTTATTCCTAATCTTAGGCATATACTTAACGAGGGGCCCGAGTGTGGGGAGGCAAGCACAGACTATGGCCAAGCCTGATTGTATTTCTGCCCAGAGTATGAGGAGGCCAAAGTTAACTAGATAGATGTGAGTATATGCCATAGGCCTACATAGGTCTGAACGATTATTAGCTGAGGGGTTAACTTACAGTCTTTGGTGGGGTTTGGAAGTGGATAGATCGCCCTCAACCGGATGATACTTGCAACACATACGCTGTGCTCGTTAGTTTAGACTAGCTACGGGTGTTTTTATACTTGTTGGGGGAAGCAATGGACTTATTGGTACGTGACTTACAGTCCAGCTAGTATGAAAATAATCCAGAGGGAAATCTTTCTCGATAGGGACAGCTTCAGTTGACTTAACATGCCAAGAGGCATGCAGAGAATCAGCACGTCCAAGAGTAGATTTGCTGTCTCGTGTCCTAGAAGGAAATGCGTGCTGTTGATACAAAAGAGCGGCGAGTTTAGTTGGTTCCAGAACGCGTCGATCGGGTCGCACTGAAATAATATAATAAATGTCGTAATAATAAACCACAAGATGCATAAAGCAGCCGCGATATAAGTTGTTTTTTGGAACGTCTTGTTTACTGAAAATATCGAGTAGAAAAACCACAAGATGCTCAACTTGACAGTCGTAATAACCCCACCAAATGTGAACTCACAGATCCAGGATATCTTTTGAATCCTTTAGTATTGTTGGTTTCTTATCGCCTCTCGTTTCGGGCTTACTCACTCTCAGAATTTCGATCATTTCGGCTTCCCCCAAAGGTGGACCAAAATCAAACACGCCATATTTAACAATAACTGAATTAATGTTCAGTCAAAGTCCTAGGAGAGAAGAGACGAAAAAACCCGGCAGTAAGCACCTACAATTGAATATGAGGCCACTTTGAACGACGAAAATAAGTAGGGACAGGATACATAAGTAGTCGTGACCTTTAAGATGCTCGCGTTGACTGATTCTCACCCATATCCTTAGAAGAACGGCGATAGTATCTAAACCAATTAGAACAGAGCCGGTTTGCAAAAAGTCCTTTCCACTAGAGGCATTAGATTGGTGGTTTGAATCTACAAGGGAACCCATTTGACGAATGGAGGACGGGCCGACTTCAAAACAAGACTGATTAGATTCGAAGCAAAGAAGCAACAACAAAACGAAGGGTTACTCGTCACTTGACCTTCAAGGTAATAAATAAGAAAACACTACCTTGAACGAGAATGCTACCCAGCGGCATTGGGGTGGCACAGCTCTTTCAGGCTTGCTGATAGGTTCATACCTGGTACCTAACCTATGGGTGTCAGCACGAGCGGGTCAAGCAGAAAAACATCAGCATCAATTTCCCCTTTTTATCATCCATGCTTAATTTCTTAGTAGATGATATTCATAAATTTCTATCTTACACTACATTTTATACATTTATACATTTTGTAGATTAGGTAACTTTACCACTCATAACCTTTTTGCAGCTGTTAACTCTATACATATGTCGATATACGATTGTATTAAGAGGTAGCGTATTAGTTAAGAAAATCTCTCAATTTTATGGAAAAGTAGCTGCGATCATCAAACTCCTAGTTAAATTGAATAAGATATTTTGTAAATCAAAAGTTGTTACCAGTAAAAGACTAGTTACCTATTATGTTGTTTATGAATGCGAACAACTGAACCATAAAGCAAAACTCTCGCTACCAGCCGTTTTTGATCAGATCTGATTCTGAAAGTGGCTTGAGTGGTCAGTTTTTTTGTCGTTGCTCTAAGCACAAGCCATATTTAACGGAGAAGCTCTTTAACACCGCTTTTTGATACGTCAGATTATTATCCTAGTAGTTGGTCTGTGAAGCGCTACATACCTCTGACCCCTGTTTTGGCCCTCGAGAAATAAATTAGCATATATGTTTGAGCTATTCCCAAGACAGTAACATCTTGACACTTTTTGAAGCTTTCATCTGTTGATATGAGTGGGGTTGTGTGCTTGTGTCCCCGTGGTGTCTCCGTAGGATTTGAGGAAATGCAGAGACAAATCTTATTATTTCAATGTATTGAAAAAGGAGGCTGGCTCTGTACTCCAGTTGCAAGAATCCGCACTTTCCTTATAATCTTGGTTTACGAGAGTGCTATCAGCAAAGATGTTTTTTCCGGGACGAAGGTAACTGGCTGTACGATTCAAAGAGTAGAGACATACCCAAACGATATCCTCACGGACGTATGGGTCGAGATCAGCATAATCGACTTCTAGCCAATCGATGTGTTTACCTATTCTAATCCTAGAGTTACACGGATAGTCACATAAGGTAGTGTGTTCGTTTGTCATATCCGAATCGAAGCTATACCTAGTGTCGTATCTGCCTATGCGACACCTCTGTGACATTTACAGCCATGATAGTTATTATAACTCTGTAGAGTCGGTATTTAGTAGAAGCCGCGCCGAAATTGTTTCGTACGGCGGCGAAGATTACTTAAAACAACGGGGGAAGCATGGGTTTACCATGTAGTCCGTAATTCAGTGCATCTTGCCAAATAATAATACTGGGGATGATAAGTCAATTGGAAGGTCGGCGATTTTCTTGTCAGAGCTGATACTCTCATATTATTAGAGCTTCCATGCTCTTTCATCGGAGCCGAGACATTAAGACACGCGAGAGTTGTTTGAGCTTCCTGGTATCTCAGGCCACGAGCAGGGTATAGGGGTCCGTGCTGCCAAACAAATTACAGGGAACGGGGAGCTCGGATGACCCCGTATATAAATATTTACGACCGAAAACTACTATGTATCCCACGAGGTTACCCCACTAGATCGGGGAAGAACTACATTTAAGGCTACGATGTATGCAACATGCAATAATAACATGGTATATTCGTCCTGCAACAAGCTCGTCACATCGAGGATATAGTTACGTACATACATCTAGACAACCCACGTGAAGGACCCTCCTATCCCACACCATCCGCCAATCATAGTCCTCTCTTTGAATATCCTCATCCTCACAATATGTATCTTGTGGAATGTCCGCCACTAATTTCAATACTAACCTGGTTATATATACACTATGTCACCTGCCAACCACTTCAAGGCCTAAAAGAGCCCCGTCGACGTGCGTATATAACCCCACTACTTAAGCTTATAGAGATACGGACCGACAGGCTAACGGATGTCTCTCGCGGGCTGAGCTTATTACCCTTTATGTTTATGCCGATGACACCATGGCATGGAACTCACGAACTAGTAATTATACGTTATGAGATGCTGTAAAGTGATCCGAGGCACTTGGGGAAAAGCCGGGCGAAGAAAGCACTTGAGTATACCCACCAGAAATATCGTTTTCATCATACTACCTATGTAGACCCTCGAATACTATAGCATAGGATAATTAGCCGAATCTATATAGCGGTATCCGATTGTCAAGAGAAATCTGCACAGAGCACTGCCGATGACGATCAGATGCAGGCCGACAGGCGTGCAACAAGCCTTCACCACATACCAGACCTATAGTTGCCGCCTTTACCCTGGCCCGGCCGGTGATAAGGGAAGTCCTCAAAAAGAAACTAAAGAAATCAAGCATGTGCGGTACGACCTTTGGTTGCATCGTTACAACAACCAATCCCACTTTGTCGCCACTAATGCCGGAAAGTCCACACACATCACACTTGATTATCTTGCATCATGGCATCGCACGTGCTAATACCAACTGCGTAGCCCGAAACCCGAAACGAAAGAAAATTGCTTTTTCTTGTTTGCTGTTATGAGTAGAATGGAAGGGATCTGTCACGCGCTTGTTTGTGTAGGGGCTTTCGATTTTAGCGTCTATCTCGAGGCATTATAATAGATAAAGTTGCCTCTCTCCCCTTTTCCTCTTTTACGAGAAGTATCAGACAACCTCATGTCAACTCTTACTTCGCTCATACTATTACTATCTCTTTAAGGTGTACTGCATACTATACGTCCACGATGACATTATCACGCTCAACTCAGCCGCTTAAGGCCCTTTACGTAATATACTTCGCCTTAAAACTCCCATTTATATTCATCTCTCTCATACTCTACTACACCATCCCTTCACTACGACCTATACGGGAATGGAGCATAAGAACAAGTGTAGCAACCTATATTATACGAATATTTTTCAACCTCGTCTCTGTCATCGGCCTTTCGAGTCTTCGACCCCTCACAGCAGAGAAGGCGAAGGAACGGTTTGCCTACGTCGAACCTGGCAAGGACGAGATCTACTCAGGCGTCTTATCCCCGGCAGCTATCAAGCCAGTACCCTTGAAAGGGCTTTGGGATGCGAACCTAGGTGGCCCAGTAACCATTGACACATCCAAGGTTATCCTCTTTTTCCCCGGAGGGGCCTTTATCTTTGCGTTTGACCCCTACGAGGGATCCAGCATCGTCTCCGATCTAGTAAAACGTGTTCCAGGTGCAAGGGTATTCCTCGCTCAGTATCGACTTGCCACGTCGGCTGCCAATCGATTTCCAGCCGCAATCCAAGATGCGCTCACTTTTTACAACTACATACTAGGCCTCGGTATCGATCCTAAGGATGTTATCTTCTTAGGAGACTCAGCCGGGGGGAACGTGGCCGTGGGACTGCTTAGATATCTGGAAGAAACGCGGAAGCTTCCATTGCCCGGCGGTGTGTTGGCACACTCGCCGTGGATTCACGTAACCAACGATTCGAAAAGTCAATACGGAGATTCACCTAAATTACGTACCGACTGTATCAACTGGCCGGTCCTTCAGACTGGATACGACCAGTATATCCCCGAAGGTGGAATGACCCCCGAGGTAGCACCGTACTTTTCCCCCATGACGCATCCCTTCAAGACGAGCGTACCGGTATACATCCAATCTGGAGACGCCGAGGTCTTCTACGACGAAAACAAGCAATTCGCAGAGGCAATGGAAGGAATTGAGGGCAACAAGGTGAAATTCCACACAATCAAGAACGCACCCCACGACCTGATCTTGTCGCATAGGATGGTAGGTTTGACTTCCGAAGCGACCGCCTCGGTCGAGGACGCTATAGCTTTTGTTAGCAAGAGCGTGGATTGAAAGGGTACACGCATATGATTACGATGGGTCGAAGAGGGACGTTACATTGGTGATGGAGGGCCACCCCCAGCCTCCGGACCTTTTTCTTTTTTTTCCTCGGGGCACGCAACTAATACATACGATGGGAATGCTCAGATCCGAAGGAGCATAATGCATTGAAGATGGGGCAATGGATAAACCTCGACAGGGTTTTAATGGTTCAACGATAATGATGCACACCGCCAAGGTTATATGGAGGTCGATGCGGAGCGGGACGGATCAGGGGTATCCCACGTGGTTCAACCCCTGTAAATAGCTTCAAATTACGGTTTGGCCAAGCTGCCTTTCTGAGGATGTCGCAAGCTAATACACCAGAACTGATTCCAGTTCCAACGATTTGATTATTTTCCGTCGATATCAATTACCTATCGGTCAAGTCTGTTGCGATCTTTGGTTGGTGATGCTTGTTAAGGGCATGTGATTTCCTTGAGAGATCTGAGGTAATACTCCCGCTTATCATAGTAGATGATGTAGATCGTCTTTAGATCTTATGCTAAGATCGCTGTTTGGCTTGCCGCTTACGAAGAAGTAATGTCCTCCAATTGGGAGATAACCGAATCAAGACCGCATAAGCTTAGTGTATATCTTCTATGTAAGAAATCATGTAAAAAGCAATAACCAATCATTTTAAGCGCTTGAAATGCAGTTAGTTGATGAATTCGTAACGATAATGATGGGCGCAACCCAAAATTATGCCAACACAGGCACTGACTCAATTTCGTCAAAAGAAGCTGAACGTAACCTTTCTCGGCTATATCTTGTCTTATTTCGAATTCCTTATGATATTCCCACTAGATAGATGCTGATCTAGATAAAAATAGTCAAAGTGCTGTTTACTCTCACCCACCGATTTAGGAATTGTATGGGACAGCCAAAAGATCAGCGTTGATGTGTACTCGCATAACAGGTACTACCTGCATCTACAAGACTCATATTTTCCTCAAAGACTTAGGTATCTTACAAATATCTGGAAAGGCGACCCACTACACTGTTGCGTTTTGTCCATATGTGGCGAGGTTGGAGTAGAGGATCGGCATTCAACATGACATTTGGGGGTTCAGTTGCAGCTATATTCAAGCTCTCTTATGTGATAGGCTTGGTGCAACTCTGGAACATAAGCTGATGAACTGACGCAGTATCATCCATTATCCGAGGAGGTGATCAAGCTTAGTTAGGTAGGTACCTAGGTAGGTAGTTTCTACTATACTGTGTTCCTATATGTGTTAGAGGTGAAGTATGATTTTGAGAGTTGTGATACCTAGGTACCTAAGGTACCTCACAATACATGAGCTGATTATTCTATATTAAAACGATATGATAGAGTGATAGAGGAACAAACAAATATGTAACTGCTATTACCTCCTTGTTGTTCTAGCAGTCGCCATGTCGTATCATTTTAGTGACTTGGGCTATAATTGATTCATACATCAGTACGTGTAGCACTCGAAGCCTTCTAACGTCACCAGATCTATAAGGATCATATCGATGTCATAAAGAGAGAATAGACTATTTTTGAAAACCGAAGTTGGCTAACGTAGCGTTCAATTTGCCACGTCGCAGAGCATAAGGTAGGTAGGTACCTACGTATAGAAACAACTTCATAACTTCTTGGTTCCCAAGGAGTCTCGCTTGAGACTCCTGGCACAATTGTATTTATGAGAATAGGGAGGAACTACTTCTCAGCGCGTTCTTTATCCCCTTAGCATCCTCCCACATTAGTAGCCCTCCAAACTTCGTCATTCCCAATCGCGATAGCAGTCCTTATGAAGGACCCCCCGCCACCGATTATTGTACTAATGGCCATTCCCGCCAGTATAACGGGATGTTGTCCACTTATTTTCCCGCAACTCGATATGATTCCGCCACCGTTCGAGGCCATGTCGGTGAGCCAATTGCTCCAGTGAGTCCCTTCACCGGTGTTGGTGATAATTGATAGAGTTAGGCAGACGCAGTTCACGATAAACCCAAGGAGGTTGGTAGCCGCCTTTGGTAATGTGTCAAGAACAAGGCTGTTGATACCCGGCACAACCCAAGCGACCCAGCGGCAACAATATGCCCACCATTCTTGGTTGTCCTTGGCGATAGGCATGGAGAAGATATATTTTAAGTTCCCAAGCCTTTTCGATAATGCCGCGAGCGAAGCACTGGACACTGGAAAGAAGATAAATGGCAAGATTAGCATTTGTTTTATCGTATTGGCTTGTGGATGCTTGGAATGGGCCTTATTCAAACTTACTGTTAACAGGTGGTACACCTTCTGGTGCCTCGGAAAACAGCCACGATACATTATGGCCGACTGCACAAATAGGAGAAACTACACCCTGGAGATAGGAGATGACGCGTAATTCCTTCGGGCATCTGAAGCTCTTCTGGCTTTTACCTTTGTCTTCGGGATCCAATTTTGACGTCGTACTATCCATATTCTCTAATGAAATTATTTTATCGGAGAAGGCTTTTGCTGCTGTGCTTGACGTTGCTGAGGCTGGATTGAGGCTCTTGACAACATCTGCCAAGGCTTCCGGGGTGTTACTGAGCTTAATACCTTCACACCACTCGTCCGGCGTGCTCCCGGTTGCGATCTTGGCTACTGTCGTAGCTGGAATCGCAGCGATAAGCGAGGCGACATTCACAACCGTCATCAGCTCTTTCTCGCCCATCAATTCGCAGATGAACTCGTAGAGTGCGCCGAAAACTGGAGTGTTGATCGTCTTTTCCATCTCTGACTTTAGGTCCACTATCAGGTCCTCGACTAGTTTGAGCACGCCGTCGATGAATGCCGCAAGGGCTGAGATGATGATATCAGCGAAGTCTGCGCAGACGCGCTGCAGGTCCGCGATTGTTCCGTGCGTGAGAAGAGCCACAAGGTCCGTCCCAGTTTGCTTGAGCTTCCCTTCAATGGTCTCCCAAACTGGTTTGAAGACATCTTCAAAAAGACGGACAATAGGATTACTGTGATCGGTACTTTCCGTGATATTGGATATTTCGTCCTCTTTATTCAACGGCGCGGCATGGCGCAAATGATAAGTTGCCATGTTAACGGCCGGTGTCATCTCTGACATATCAGGTTTCCTGTTGTCTTTCTCCGCAGCTGTTTGCTTCATTGACGAGATCGTCTGGTTACTAAATTCAGGAGGGAGTGTAAGATTCTTTATATCCTTTCCGATGGTTGAGAAGATCGACTTCATCTCGGCTCTGGTGCTCTCAATTAGACTTGCTGCCTCGGCCACGCCGTAGTCAAGAAAGCCTGTTCTCAATGACCGAATTAGCAAATAGCAAAGTGCAAATGATGAAACTAGGAACCTAGATATATTTATATGAAGTAGGACTTACTTTTGCTAGTCTCCGCGATGACTTTATGTGTAGCCCATATGTGATCCCAACCTAGCAGGTGCCCGAACCAGGCGAGAACCTACACAATCCGTCAGTCGGCATGATGCGTAAGTGTCAAGGATATCAAAATGAGAGAATGTCACCTTATCTAGATCAATCCCGACTAGTTTTAGGAGGAAGTTCAACCCTTTGTATATGGTGACCAAGGTGTCCAAGACAAGTCGGATTGTTTTATCCCCTATTTGGAGCACGAACTCGAATCCTTCCCCAACTTTGGAGATGATGAATTTCACTCCGTTTGCAAGCTTGACAACACCGTCTTCGATGACCTTGACGACTTCGTCGAAAGCATTCTCTAGCCAGTGCCAGATATCGCCGAATACGTCGGTCCACGATTCAACTTGCAACGGCGCGTCTCGTCTCACTCCCTCCAACTCCTCATCGCCGAATGCTGCCCAAGATCCATCTTTCGTGCTGAATCTGAGATAAAACTCGTCGTCAATGGTGGAAGGCGAGATCTTTGCACGCAAGTCATGCTTGATTGCTGCTCTCGTTAGTTCATTAGGCATCTCTACGGCTGTGAAGATGTTTCCGCACTTGTGCGGGGGGAAGCTGTTACCAACGGATCCGCGTATCATCGAAAGCGACCGTGCAATCCCGTTTGATACATCTTCAGATATATCATTTGGAAGTACGGATTTGCCATCTTGGGTCCGTGCCGCTCTTAATGATGTCCCGTCAGTTATGTTGAGAAGATGATGGTGTATTTTGCCATTAGGGAAAATGCTTAGAGTTTCCTTGAAGACATCACCTAGTAAGAAATGAGTTAAACGGAAATCAAACGCATCAAGTTTTTTTTTTTTTTTTTTTTTTTTTTTTAAAAAAAAAAAAAAAAAAAAAGCATAGGGTTGGACTTACTAGTAATATGAAGCACAGCTGGAGCAACGTCAGAAGCAGTGCTTATGATGGTGATATTACCGAACTCATCAGTCTCAACCTCCGCGGGTACGTGGCTGTCCAGAGAATAAATAAGACCGTTTACCGTGGCATATTGCCATTCGCTGGATGTGATCTTGACTTTGGCTCGGACAGGAACTCCCAGCTCGTCACCGAGGTGGAACTGTGTCGTGAAGGAATTGAAATTGACAACGTAGTTGCTCTGGCCGACTCTGGCAGTCTTGCGACTCCAGAGGGTTGAGGACGGATCTTGCCAGTAATGTGTAACGGTAAGCCCCGTGTCCAAGGTAAATATCATATTGCTGCTCGGGCCACTGTCTGACTTGACGACGCGAAGAGGTGCCATATGAAGAACATTTTTGGCGAAAAGAACAGGTTCGCTCCACTTGACGATATGTCCCTCCTGACGCTCTCCGCGGACTAGGTATAGAGAACTTGGAGAAGCCTCTACCCAAAGAGACATCTCGCCTGAGTCTTCCTTGGCTATCTTTACTTGGTGCACGTCCTTGATAGAATCTAACTTGTTCCATGAGATTGGCTCTTCCGTTTGGAATTCGGTAAAGCCCGGTACCTGCCCCAACGTATGTATATATCGGAACTTGGATTTTTCGCCTCAGCTCGTGCAGTAGATACATCAACGCTACTATGTTTCAACTGGCGATACGCTTCAGGCAAGTGTAAGTTTCCTGGGCTGTAATCGTAAGATAGGGTCCCCTGTTTGTCATCCCCAATCGTCTTAGCGATCAAAGATACCGACTCTCCTAGCTTGTAGAGGAAGTAATTTGCTCGTTGGCTAAAGTTGAAACCCATCTGAAGCTTAAAGAAATTATTATCGCCCACATCCAATCCTTCGGGGAATTCGACTCGGATGGCAACGTTAGTATTACTATTTACCTGATAGAAATGCCGTGAACCGGGCGCATCTCCGACGACAACAATCTGAGGGTTTGAATTATCGTCGGATGATCCCACCTGTATGTGATCTCCTATAAAGCTCTTAGCGAGTCCATTAACTTTGGTTACCCGAGACGAGAACTTGGGCAGATCCCCACTTCGCCACATCGTTGGACATCATGCTGGTAAAGAAAACATCTGTCCCAGTTGCGTCTTTCTCTGGAGTATGAAAGCAAGCGAGATGCGACCCCTTATGTCTTGGGTTACGTCGAATTGAACAGCGTAGGAGTGATTACGGAACGAACCTAACAAGTTCGTGGAGGACCAGCCGTCTGGGTTCTTTCCCGATGTGCTCTGGAGCATCTGAAAGCTTCCCTCGGAGCCAATAGTGAATATCAAGGAATTTCCGACGTTATCTTTGACGACGTCGAATGTGGAAGAGGGAGCAACTGTATTAGGTAGCCATAATTAATAAGACTGTTTTTAACTCGGAAACTTAGAAAAGAAAAGGGGGTGGGAAGTATACCTGGCATAGCTTGTTGTATATTGGACATCAACTCCGATGACACGGTCGCTTTTAGGGCATTCTTTTGTTGTGCTATCGTAGGATTGAGTTTTGTCACGTCGATTATGGGGGCAGCTAACGGTGACGGGTTCACTGCGATCTTCTGGGAGTCGTTTCCAGCCACATCAAGCAGTTTAGTTTTTTTCGTTACTGCTGCAGCCTCGCAGATATCTTCAATGTTCGGTATTGAGATTAAGCGCGAACAGGGTGTTTCTTCGTATATGTATTTAACCTCCGTTACGGCTGAGTACAAGGAGGGCTCGTCAGTAAGATGATAAGTGTCGGTCTTGTAGGTTAGCTGCACACTGAAGTCTCAATCATCGTCGATCTTAGGTTTCTGTTTCGGAAGATGGATGTTAGCGCCACATTGACATGTGTTATTATTACTTTTGGGACTCAAACAACTTCGCAATCCTACCTTGGAGAAGAAAACCTGGCCAGCAGGTAGCATGAAAGTACTGTTGATGTTGGAATCCAGACTGCCAACAAACGCCGTAGGACCTGGTAAGCTACCAATATCGGGGGTCAGAAGTTCCATGAAAAGCTTCTTGAAAAAGTTATCGTTGCTGAGTCCGAAAGTGAAGATACTTTTCAAGGCATCTAGGATCGTTCCAACCCAGAATGCAACGTCCTTCCAGAACGCGGCACACTCGTTCTGCCCGGATGATGGTTTATATCCCGAGAACACCGGATCCGACGCACTTACCTGGATGGTTACCTTTCCATCCTTATCCTTAGCTTTTATGAGCGTTATTTCGGCGGACCATTCCGTTTTGCTGCTTGCCCAAGCCTCCGCCAGACATACAAGGGCCTTCCTAGCAGTCTTCTTGAATGAAATTTCCCCGGAGAATCGGATTTGTATAGAAGGATCCGAGGTGTTTAATGCGTTGACAGAGTACTTGTTGGTGTATTGGTCATCCCCCGCCTCAACCTTGGCGATTTGGAAGGATACATTTGCACCAACGCCGGATTTTGCGTCTTTGTAGCTTGGGGCAGGAAGGATTTTCAAGAAAGTGTTCCTAAATCTCTGTGCAAACTTGGTGCTAAAGGACTCGTAAAATAGACGAAGTATCAATGATTCATATAACGAAAACGAGGAATAAATCATCTTTCCATCACACTGATCCTGGGGCTGGATCCAGTTGTAATCGAAATTCCCCGGTGTGGGGTGATTGCCCACATCCAGGCGTTTCTCTCCCCCTTCGGTATTGAGTACGAAGTTGATCGTACTCCTATCATGATCACTGGAGTCAAAATATATACTGAACGTTTGGCCGATGGGCTTGAGACAGGGCGGGACGTTTTCATCGTGTGGCGGTTGACGTTTTTGGTCCGATATGGTGTACCCTAGAATTAATGGATTTTCCTTAGGATGATCTTTGAAGTACTGGAGATATTGCGACGTAACGAACCCAAAACCATACGCAGCTCCATTAAGGAACTTTGGTATGATTAGGGTCGAAGTTGACTAGTTCGGTAGATTCGAAATTCACGAACAGCTGAGCCACAGAGAATCCTTCCGACACAAACTTGGTGAGTCGGTCGATGACAATTTGTGGAACAGGCATTTTGGCACCAATGTTAGAACGTCCAATGCCAGCAAGGTCAAGTGAAATACCGATACCGTATTCCCAACCAGCCATGTCCCACTGCGTAAGACCAAAACCGCCCATGCGTGGACGCCAGGCGGAGCCTCGGTCGAAATGAAGGATCAGGAAAATTTCCGTACCGCTCTCTTCAATGAGAATCTTGGGCATGTAGTTCGCATTGATGAGAGAGTCCAGGGGCTTTCCGGAAGGATCCTTGGGAACGTCTTCATATTTGTCATAAAACTTAGAAACGAACTTATCAGTAGGCTCATCATATTTCACGCTCAGAATAAAGCTTGGGAGATTACACCATTAGCATAAATCTATATATAGGTAGGTACCTAATGTATGCATGCTTATAAGATGTGCGGGTTATACCTCGTCTTGATGATACCGATATCAGGATCCGCCAGGTGCATAAGCTGATCATTCACGGACTTCTGAGTGACGGAAACGACCGTGTCATATCCGGAACTGGTGAAAACGTCGGAGTTCTTCATTTTCGAAAAGTGGTAAAATCCTGATAGAAAACAGTTCTTGGGTTCGAAACAAGGGCGATGTAGTCGGTAGGTTCTAGATCTGTTCAAATCACACTTGGAAGATTGGTGCAGAAGAGAATCCAAGCAGAAAAAACGATGAGATTGTCTACCATATATATAAAGACGCCAAGCTGAGTACATTCTAAGCCTTCTTGAAGTAGTCATACTTCACCGGTAGCTTCCATACTGCTTGGAAGCTAATCATGGAAATTTGGGGTATTGTAAACGGTGTTGTCTGTCGGCTTCCAGTCCAGGATATGAGTTGGTCGAGAGACTCATGAATGAAAAAGTGGTACACGATTTTACCTCACCAAATGTACCTAAACGCCGGCGACCTCAACGGTGACCTTACGAAAATTGGTCACGAGCTTAACCAGTACCTAAAGCAACGCTCCAAGCTGCCGATCGCTGAGAGGCTGGAAAAGAAGGCTCAATAAACTATGCATGTGTGAACAATGCTAGAGCCGGCTCGAACCAAATCTGGAAAGACAGCGGAGAGCCTTTAGCTACTCTAGTCCGATCAACTCCAAACACGGTCCCTTCAGATTACGCGAATCGAGGATCTTATACATCATTCAACTGCCTACGTAAGGTGCCTTATGTATATGCATTCTGAATGGCTACAGGTACATCGACTATCTCACTGGAATATGTGCTCTCTGCAGAGAACATCACATCTTTTTGACCTTCATTGGCGGTATTCCTCCTGCAGGCCAAAACCCACAAGCGTCCTTACGCTGTTGATGACTTCAGCGGCGTGGAATAAGAGATCGGAGAAACAGGCTCCCTCCATCCAGGATGCAAGCCAACAGCTTATGGGCGTGTTGATCTATGCTTCCTCGACGTTTTCAGCCCCGCATAAAGAAAGCCCTTTACCCGAACTCGTTCCGGATATTGCATCAAGTCTTACTATATCCTAGCATGCTGTATCCCTGATAGATGAAGGAAAGAAGGGCGTATGCGTGGCAGACCATATATCACGACTATGGTTCTGAGAGAACCGTCTCCTCCCATTCCATTATGGTTATCAAGATTGATCAGAGAGCTGATGTGTTTTTATAGTAGATTTCCTGGCAGTTAGGATACTGTGAAGGGTTTACATCGAGATTAATCTGCGTACCCAAGACAAGTACGAACTGCAGAGGCAGCGTACCGAAGATGTTAGATACGAATACGGACGGCATTTTCACATAATACCCGAATAGGTCTATAAAAGTATAAGCCCTAAATACTAGATAGGTACCTCCTACCTAAGCTATAGAGAGTAGTCCATCTAAGGTTTCTTCTAGCAGAAGACAGCGTTAATGAGATAAAACTGTGGGTTTTCTATGAGAGCGCCCCATACGCACGCGCCTAATAATAAATGTCTATTGTTTTAGCTTATTAAACCTGGATAACAACATCCTAGAACACACCTCAGAGTCCAGAGTCCCTCTACGAAACCCACTGCTTCGTGACGCAGACCTCGCAGCCATCCACAAGGTTTGCCTCCGTGAACCGAAGCGTCAAAAGGCCCTCGCCATCCACGTACCAACTCCGCTTGCCGGCGCGGCGAGTCTCGGGGTCAATTACCGTTTCCGGCCGGGGACGTTCCCACCCCGCGGGGCCTCTCGCCCGCGCCTCGTAGTAGACCTGCATGGCCCGGAGGTTGGCTGCTTCGAGGCTGCGATACGTGCCCTCTATGACGAGCCTCGCGGACCCGGCCGCGGCGGCGTTTCCCCAGCTGGTTTGGCCGACGGTAGAGTGGGCGACGATGAAGACGGCATCCGTGCGCTCGTTACCATTGGGCAAGGCAGGAGGAGGGGGGCCCAGCCATTCGTCCCGCGAGCTTAGTGTGCCAAGGGCTTTTAGCATCTCTTCCGGATATATGTCTTTGAAGTGACCCGAGTAGTCAACCCATTCCATGCATTGACCTGTCCAGCCACAAGCGGGAGTATCGAGTTGTTCAGAATCGCCGGTGGCATCTCCCATTTCGATATCTTCTTCAATGGCGTCGGGCCTCGAACGTTTGTGAGGTTGATGAGGCCCGGGCGCTTCGCTTTGAGATTCTTCTAGCTCGGCACTCTTACGCTTTAACATAGTTTTTGTGACTTGTTTGATAGCTGTAGATGGCGCTAGAAAAGTGGCAAGGGACCGATTTGTTATGAAGAGGTTGTTGCTATAGCTTTTTAGGGTCAGACGTAAGAGTTTAGAGTTAAGTTAGAGGTAGGTACCTAGGCAGATTTTGTATTCTTTTTTATTTATTTATTCTTTTAAAAAAGTAGCGGTTGCATCTTTCTCATTTGTGCCTTCCATCTCGGCGTGTATAAAGACGATAATGAGGAAGGAGGCCAGAGAATCGACAATATAGGCGCTATCTATACCTAAGAGAAAAGTCTTAAGGAAAGAGACATGACATAGTCTATATTGGCTCCAGTATGACTTTACTGCCTTCCTTGTAACATAGGTACCTCCTAATACCTACTTAGGTGAGAGCTTCCTGTGCTAAACCTACCTGGTAGAGGTACCTAAAGTTAAGGGAAAGTGCATTGGGGATTTCATCTATGGTAGTCAAGAGCTGACTTGAGCTGACCTGACCCGACCCCTGAACTCGGAACGGCTTACATAAGCCTTATTATATAATACGTCGATAGGAGGTACCTGTTGACTTTGCATAAAGCAAGTCTTCATAATTGAACATACCATTCATTCGATTCATGCAATATACATCGTCAAGTGTTTACCTAAATCAAGCAGTATCCACTTGCCCTAATGACCTACAGCCCCCGCAGCCCACTGTCTAAAATCCGGGGCACCTGGCTGTGGGAAAACCCCACCCTGGTGTCCTAAACCCGGCTGCTGCTGCTGCTGTTGTACACCAGCCCCCCCTTGTTGCCCCTGTCTTGCAGCCTCGGCCTCGGCCTGCACGTGCGCCTGTTGCCTACGCGCACGGTAGTACATGAGGATGGCTATGGCCCCGACCAATCCCAGAATGATCAAACTCTCGACCACGGCGTCCACGTCTTCGAGGCCGTCGTTCAGAGGTTCCCCGTCGCTGCCGGTAATCATGCCCTCGTCAAAGGCCTCATACCCTTCCTCGTAGTAGACGTCCTCCTGGAGAAAATTGGAAATCCACTCGCTGAGTGACCAGTCCTTTCTAGGAGCTGCTTCCGCATACGTGTTATTAGTCTATATATGTGAAGTATAGAAAGGGGGAAACGGGAAACATAAAAAATCAAATAGCACTTACAAGGTTCGTCCTGAATCGAATTGATCCGTCCATGTGTAAACGTATTCCAAGCACTGCGTGCTCGGAGTTTAAGGAGGCTCAGGGTGACGGGGAGATAGGCTTCCTCATTAGCCTCAAGAGCTTGGTCGTAGTATCTCTTAGCGAGATGGAAATCCTGGGTTAGACCGACTCCGTTCTCGTGCATCCATCCAAGGTTATAGAGAGCCTGTGCGCTTTGAAAGTACTCCGATGCCCCGGTATAGCACTGGGCAGCCTTGTCGAATGCCGGCTCGGTACCGATGCCGTCAAGATAATAATCACCCATTTTGACTAGCGAATCGATGTTGGATTGTATAGCCGATCTTGTCCAGTAGATCAAGGCAAGGGCAGAATTCTGGAGGAGACTAGGCTTTGCTGGTTGGCGGTGAAGCCAAGATGGTAGGGGTAGTCGCGACTGCGACGGGTCCAGCATGAAGGCGACGTTGTTTTGTGCCTTCTCGTATCCTTGCTCCGCAGCAATAAGATAATCGAGGAATGCTAGCTCATAGTCGCCATCCTCGTAGGCTTGGTTAGCCTCTGTCCATGACGATACTAGAGGCTCCGCCCTCTCAGCGACGCTCTTATAATAGGCCATGGCCATGCCGCAAGTTTTATCCCTTCCAACCCCATGATGCATCATCTCGGCTAGATAGTATTGCGCCTCGATGTTGGCCCACCGAACAGCTGCTTCGAAGTAAGAGTTGGCAATTTTCAGATCGTCGGGAGTACCTTGATCGAGGTGGAGAGCGCCCAAGGCAACGTGGGAAAGGCTGAAGTCCTGGTCCGCAGAAGCTTTGAAGAGTTCCGTGGCCTTCGAAACATTCTTTGGAATACCAAGACCGTGGAGGTTCATAATTCCCAAGCCCCATTGGGATTGAGCGTCGCCATGTTTAATTCCACGCTCGAACCACCCCTTAGCTAGCTTGAAGTCCTGCCTGACACCCTCTCCACGCAGCCACATCCGGCCAATATAACCAGCGGCCTTACTGGCATACTTCTCGAGTTGAGGTTTAGGCTGGTCAACCGGACGCCCATCTTTGGTGCGCCAATACATCGTGGTGACTGCAGCAAAATATCGTCGAGCTAGGTCGACGTTCCTTTCTAGACCCCGCTGTCCTTCATAATAAAGCCTTCCGAGATTAAAGGACGCCTTAAAATCGCCCTTCTGAGACATCAAGTCAAGGTATTCAATAACGTCGTCAATGGCAGCGTAGGCGTGTGAACTAGGGTCTGCTTTCAAAGCGTTGATACCGGAGCTCACGACACTAGCGCCTTCGCCGTAGACGCCACCAACGTCGTCGGATAGCCGATGCGCTTCCGGCGTAAGGGCCATTCCACCAGGCGGCCCTGATCGGAACCACTCCATAGCTTTGTCCGCCACCCTCTTGTAGTACTTGCAAGCCATCTCACAACTCTTAGGTACTCCGACGCCGCTAACGTGGCGCGCCGCGAGGGTCATTTCCGACCTCGTATGGCCCGCATCGGCGGCGAAGGTATGGTATAACAAAGCCTTCGCTTGATCCCGCTCGACGGCATCTCCAAGCCCCGTAGCATACATCAACCCCACCATATACTGCGCGGAACTGTTCCCGTACGAAGCTAGTCGGTAATAGTGATCGAATGCGGTCTTGAAATTCCTCGGGTGGGAGTAATTTCCGAAGAAGTTGAACTGCGCCAGTAGGTAAATCGCATCTGTGTTGTTCTGCTCGGCCGACTGCTGTAGGAGCTTGACGCCCTCGAGGAGGGGACCGCTAATGACCGGTTGCGCATGTTCTTGCGGCGGAGCGCTTACTCGTAGGCTCGGTAAGATCTTTGGTAGATAATGGAATAATATCCCAAAAACGCTCGTCGGTTTCTTAGTCTTCCGATGCGAAGAGTGTATCTTGATCTTTCGAAATTCGGTCATCGCCTCGTGTACCAGTTCCCATCCTAACTTTTATGTTAAACTTCCTCCGACGCTCATTCCAAGATCATATATTGGGTACAACAGCTTACCACTCTGGTAAGGGGCCCAGGTATGTTGTTCTCTCTGAACGACATCGGTCTCGGCAGCCTGGGGATGGTTTTCTGTCGTCGTATCGTCGCCTAATATTTGTTGATCGGCGGCAGATGTAAAAGCGACAACCTGCAAGAGCACTGGTCGGAGCAGGGGTTAGCAGCGTATACCACAGCTTATAGCTGACTATATAGTATATATATACCTAACCTAAGAGGTATGTAGGTATTATATTGGATTTGTAAGGCGAGAGATACTTACGGAGTGCCGAGACGAGCCAACGCCTCATAATTAGAAAATTGTGCTAAGCGCAAGATTTCAAATACCGTATTAATATCATGATCTTCAAGGGGAGTTTAACAATTTTTTTTAAAGCATTGGTTGTTGTGTGGAAGGGAAAGACGTCGTATGTTAGGTAGTAAATATGTATATATGGAAGGGAAGCCGTCCGGGGGCTTGGAACTTACAAGCTGTCCAGATCGGACGGTACAAACGGTGGTACAACATTCAATGCGTTGAGAAAGCGACGTCAGCGATGAGCTTGCCTCCGATTGGCCAATGTGGTGCGCAACCCACAGTCTGTGGGGCTATACCTTGGTAAAGATCAAAAAGTTTCAATACCTATCGGGTCTTTATCTTCATAAGGCTGAGTTTAGTGTAAATACATATCAACCTTATACTTTAATGGCGTAGGAAAGTTTGTATTAGAACCTCAAAATTACTTAACCTACCTAAGAGCTACCTAACCTAATTTTTTGTTTGGGTTTCAAACTCCGAGTCGCATACAATCTCTACCTAGGTACCCAGGGGTATATAGCCGTTCTCACAAAGCTCATCAACGTCCCCTGTTTACAAGGGAAAACAAATCTGATTTGATTATAAGAAGTTCAATTAACTAACAGGTACTTAACTGAAAACTTTAAACCTCTTGGTAGAGGTAATAAAGGAAAATACCATGTATCCTCTCACTTGCGTAGACGGGTACAGAATACCCGTACGCGAGGAAGTCTACGTCCTCGACATCATCCCCCTTGCAGCCGGTCCAGCGACTATCTCCTCGGACCAGAAGCTGTCATTATTCAACCCTACAAACCTCAAGGCAGGACCCCAGCTCAACCTTGTCACGCGACACGGCAACATCACCAGCGCGAAGGCGTACGACGTAGGGAACGCTGTTGTCTGCACGGCGGGCGAGGATGGCAGTGTGTCGATGTGGGACCTGAGGAACGACCCGAGGCAGGCCGAAGTAGCAAGATTAACAGGTTCGTTTATTTGCGACAGACAACTGGGCGCACTTGTATTTTATAGACCTGATGCTGAGGATTTATATAGATAATCGAGTCTCCGTATTGTCTTTAGCATGCTCAAGTGCCGGCTACTCAATTGTGGCCGGAACTGAACTTCAAGATCATCAGGCATCTATATTAATATGGTGAGTATGCTGGTTACCTAGTAGGTGCCTAGGTAGGTACTATAAAATTAGTATGCTTATACTCGAATACTCAGGGACGTCCGTTCAAATTCCGCACCGACTCTTCACTATAAGGAAGTCCATAGCGACGACGTGACAGAGGTTTGTTTTGCGCGCTACCGATGGTATATATCCGATGCTAATATAACTTAGCTGAATTTCCATCCTAACGATCACAATATTCTTCTATCAGGATCAACCGATGGTCTCGTAAACATCTGCGACACAAGAATCGCTGATGAGGACGAAGTTATAATCCAGACTTTCAATCACGACGCCTCCATCCACCATGCGGGGTTCTTGAATGATACCGAAGTATATGCACTATCCCACGATGAGAAACTGGCTCTTTACGATGTAGCCGAAAACCACCAAAATGGGGCGGCGACGACCGATTTTGGGGATATGCGACAGGTCCTCGGCTGTCAATATATCGCTAATATCACTGCGAAATCAAACGGGGCCGGAGCAGTGATTGGCGCTGGTGCACATGAGTAAGTTGAATCTACACCCGAATTGGCCTTGTATCCCCCACTGATCCTGAGACATGTGCAGGCAGCAAGCATTCGAATTGATTCATTTAACGAAGGGTCAAGGGTGGAATTTGGACCGGGATAATAGCGTGGGTTTGCCCGGAGCCCATTCTTCGGAGATCGTTCGCAGTTTCTGCTTCTACGACGAGGCGCAGACGGTCTTCAGCGCTGGCGAGGATGGATTTATCAAAGCATGGAGACCGAATGCATAATCAAAGAGAAATTCCCATCCTCAAGAGTATTTGTCGTGCTTACTCTTGGACTTCAGGTCCAGTAGCTGTTCATAGTAGTCACCCTCCCTTCTTGCTTTCTTCAGGGTCCTAACCTCATCCTCGTTGAGTCGTCTGCCTACGGCCTCTTCAAGCTCCTTCCGGCTAATCCTTTCTTTTGCTTTCTCCTCCTTCGTTGCCTTCAATCTGGGTTTAAAGCGCGCTTGCATGCGGATTCTCAATGTAGTGTCGAAGCTGATTTCTGTCGCGTCACCACGGACCTCGGGCACCCCATTCGCCTTCGTAGGTTCCTTGATGGTTAAGAAGGTTTCGCTCTGGGACTGGATCTGGAATGTCCCCGGCGTATCGGGAGTCGGGATCACGGTCCACGTTTCGAGCGGTGATATAGCTTCGGACGTGGCGCTAAGGATGCCGTACTTGTCGCAGCTGAGGTATCTGAAGAGCAAACACATCACATTAGCAATCGAAACACGCATAAAATCAATAGGGAGAAAGAAAGCACATACTTTCCATAGCGTCCTTTGAACCTAAAGCTTTCGGTACCGTAGATTTTATTCGCAACCCAAACTTGGCGCACATTATGGGGTTCAGCGCTGGCAGGATTCGCGTCAATGATGTTTACGATAGGGTCGGTGAAGATCTTGCCATTAGCATCGCAGGCCAGACAAGTCGGAGGTGCTGTTGGAAGTACGATCATGACAGGGCCTTGGACATCTCCAACGGCATCAGCTGATACCCAACTGTCGTCGTTTTCCGCATCCTCAGCCGTCGCGGTGATAGTGGGATTGCTAGGCCCTGCATCTCCAGCTGAAGATTCCGCCTCAGTACGCTTTCTCTTCTTGGGTTTCTTATCGCCCTTGAAAGATAGTGGCTTAACCATGTTTGTATCACCTGATTCCCAATTGCTTTGCTAGAGGACGCCGGTGTTGTAGATGGAACGACAAAATCGCTCCACGGGGTGTTGGTGTTTAGGTATAGGTATAGGCATAGGTATAAGGTTATAGGTACGGTTTAATGAGAGAGCTCCGATAAGAAAAGCACTGGCGTCACTCCCGGTCATGATACGACTGAAGTACCCAAGTACCTAAGTACCTAACCTTTGGTTTACACTGGACGTCAATTTATTAAATTGGCCCGCCTAACCTGGGTTCTTTCAATTTTCCATTTTACATAATTTTCTTACAATTTCCAAATATTACATGCCTCTCCTATTGGACTTCGTATCTCTCATATTCCTTTCTTTACTTCCGATGAAATTGCAATTGCTAAACGGGATATAACCAAGGATGTAACGGGTAGCTCCTATGGTTGCGCGGAATGCGCCGGTGGTTAAGTTCTTTGATACAGATGCTTGTTAGTGAAATGCCGACGGTATCCTTAGGGCGAAGCTGCAATAAAAAATCGAAACACTTTCGATATCTTTTCAGTTAGTTTACATATTAAATACCAACATAGTCACTCAGAATCTCTTATTAATTATCCCGAAATAATTGTTTTATCAACTTACTCATTGAACCGTCTCTAACAACCAATTATGGCGACAGCACAGCCTGTTGTTGTATCGTTAGCCGATCTCAAGACCGGTAAGACTTGGACAAAATGAGATCCCTTCAGTAGTACGTGTTACTTATTATTTAGGGAACATCTCTTTCGAGACCCTACAAGAGGCCTTTGGCCCGGAGTCGCTAGGTATTCTCGTTGTTAAAGATGTCCCGGCAGAATTCCCGCAGTTGAGACATCAGCTTCTATCGTATGCCTCGTACATGGGCAACTTATCCGAGGCAGATTTCGGTACGTCGAAGATAAATAGACCGTAGGTCGTCTGTCTATGTCGCCAGGGAAGTGTCTTACACATTTATAGATAAGTTTACGAATGAAGCTGCCAAATACCTAGTAGGGTGGTCTAAAGGTAGAGAAAAGCTGAAGGACGGAGGAGCCGATGAATACAAGGGTTCCTTCTACGCCAACTGCGCATTTTACGTAGATCCGTCCTTGGAGTCCGCGAGGCCAACGAAAAAATTCCCCCTAAAAGAGTTTCCCGAATACTTGGCGCCAAACTCGTGGCCACCAAACGAGACATTACCAGGTTTCAGACCGACAATGGAACAGATGTGTAGGCTGATCATCGACACCGCCGTCTTAGTTGCGCGAGCTTGCGACAGGTTCGCCGAAAAGCAAATCCCGGGGTATCCTTCGGCCTACTTGGAGAAGGTGGTTAAGTCTTCGTCTACGACGAAAGCCAGACTCTTGCATTACTATCCGATGCCCGAGGAGCTTATGGCGAAGAGCCAAGAAGAAGACAATTGGTGTGCGGTTCACAAGGACCACGGCTGCTTGACAGGCCTGACATCGGCTATGTTCGTTGACGAACTGAAGACTAACTCGAAAGTCCCCAATCTTGACGGAAAGGTGCCAGATTTACTACCGACGTTGGAGGAATTGCCCGCATCGCCGGATCCGCAAGCCGGTCTTTGGATTAAGGACAGGAAAGGCGTGCCAGTCCAGGTCAAAATCCCTCGAGATTGTATCGCCTTTCAGACCGGCGAGGCGCTTGAAAGGATTACTCGAGGGAAGTTCAAGGCTGTGGAACACTCGGTACGGGGAGCATATGCTAAAGGTATCGCTCGAAATACCCTCGCCGTCTTCACACAGCCGAATCTCGAAGACGAGGTCGACTTAGACGAGCACATGACGTTTGGAGACTTTGCTAGAGGTATCATAGCGAAGAATACCGTCTAGATGGAAAGCAAAGCGTTTGATAGTTAGACAAAGAAGAGACCATCAAAAAACTCTCATAACTTTTAAGTTTTTACTATCATATTTACTAGTGAGACAAATTCATAATGCACTCCGGCCGTATGCCTACATCCATATCGTTTAAAGCTGCATTAGTACCAGTGATTAACTCATATATACATCACCTCACCCCCCTTACTTTACCACTTTGGTACGGACCTAACCTAAGGTAAGTATTGCATTATGTCGCAGCTAATATGCAGCAGCTACCCCGCCATACCAGAGCTATCACAACATATGGCGTCACTAAAAGTATTTTCCTATTATTCGCCATGTCTCCGGTCTTGAAGCATCATATACATCATATACGTAACTCGTAACTTTCGATCTCGTCACTTAATTGGTCTCGGAGTTTCTTCCTCTTTGTCTATTATCATAATAAACCCCATCTCCACACCCTTCTAAACAGCTCCAACCTATTTTAACTTCTTCAACATCTCGTTGATTCTTAACCACCACTACCACCACAACACGATCAACCATGGCGCTAAACCCCAAATTTGCCGGCCAGCGATTGCTCTTCGGCCAGCCGTCCTCCTCCACATCCGGCGTCCCACCGGCCGTGCACACGCTCGAGCTGTTCCTCGACTACGTCTGCCCGTTCTCGGCGAAGCAGTTCAAGACCTTCTACCACTCGGTGGTGCCGCTCGTCCGGGAGAACCCCAAGTGGGCCGGCAGCCTGCAGATCATCTTCCGGCAGCAGGTGCAGCCGTGGCACCCGTCGTCGACGCTGGTGCACGAGGCGGGCGTCGGCGTGCTGCAGCTCGCGCCCGACCGGTACTGGGACTTCAGCGACGCGCTGTTCCGGGCCCAGCTCGACTACTTCGACGAGCCCGTCGCCAACGAGGCCCGCAACGACACCTACCGCCGGCTGGCGAAGCTCGCGGCCACCGTCGGCGTCGACGAGAAGGCCTTGTACGACTTGCTGGCCGTCAAGGACAAGGTGCCGGAGGGCAGCATCGGCAACACTGGAAATAAGGTCACCAACGATCTGAAGCTGCAGATCCGGTACGGCAGACTGGTGGGCGTGCATGTCAGCCCCACCGTCATCTACGACGGCATAGTCGCAAACGATATCAGCTCGTCGTGGACCAAGGAGCAGTGGCAGGAATGGTTGACCAAGAACCTCGGTTGAAGCAGTAGTGAAAATACGACCATGGCACAATTGGAACAGACAAGCTTTTTGGTCGTACCCGGGATGAGTTTCCGAGTGGTGCAAACAGATAATATGATGACTTAGGGTTACAAATGAGGGATAATAGGGGAGTAACTGCTGTATACATTAACAAAGTATACTACCTACTACATACATCATCTTCAGTTCCGAATATATCATATCCTCTATATGACATTCAGAAGAAATCATATTTGACAACCTAATATCGGATAATTAAGAGTAAAAGGTATCTATTTCAGTTCCAGGTATTGAATTGTGAGCAGTATCTGTATACATGAGTGAGGTCACCTGGCGCCAACTGCCAAGCGCTGCTTCAACTGGCACAAATCGTGTTCCTAAAACTTAAGTGAGCATCATTTCACTTATACACACCATCAAGAATTACACGGAGAGATTTCAAATAAACTCTTCTCCATCATGCTGGTGCTCGGAGCTCTGAGAAGGGCTCAAATGGTTCCACGGAGATGCAACACCGTCAATTTTCAAAATGTAGCTCCCCGTAATCTTTCCTCCGTCAGGCAAAATTTTCGGATCTTGGGCGTGAGATGCGAGACGACCACAAGCAAAGCCGCCAAACCAACCGCCAACGCTGCGGCTAGTCCCAAACCACCACCACCACCACAGACACCCAGATACGGTCAGTCTCTATGCGTTCTGTAATGTTCTCGTATATTAATCATCACGTAGCATACCCGGAAAAGCTCTGCATCTATCACGCCGGCACGCCCCGGATAACCTTCCTAGCGTGTCTGAAGATCTCGACGCTCTTCATCTTCGTCTTCTTCGGCTTCGTCGTCACCCCGGCGTACTTTGACCGGGAAGGCTTATCACCTACCGTACTCCGCAGTACGTCCCCCGTCCCTGTTTCATATCATTACTTTCAACCCTTTCCTTTCCTTTCCTTCTTTTTTAAAAATGAAAAAAATAAAATAAAATAAAAAATAAAAACATATATACGAACGCTAGGTAACCTAACCTCAACAACAGCAATGCTCTCGGCCATCGTCCCGATGGTCTTCGTAGCGTACACGACGTCGCCCTTCGTGTCCTTCATCCACATGCGGCTGCCGCCCGTGGCGCGGCAGTCGGAGGACATGCTGCGGCGGTTCGCGCGGGCGATCCCGGCGGACGCGGAGCTCGAGGTCACGACGATGAGCTTCATCGCAAAGCCGCGCGTCAGCCGCGTGAAGGCGTCGGAGCTGCGCCCGGTGTCGCGGCGCTTCGGCATCGTCAACCTCGCCCGCGACACCGCCGCCGAGAACGCCGCTAGGCCCTGGTACCGCTTCCGCGCCGTCGGCCAGTTCAACGTCCAGTTCAACACCGCGAGCCGCGCGCCCTGGGTCTGGGAGAGCATTATGGCCACCATACAGAAGCAGCGGGCTTGATTTGCGAGTCCCGCTCTGTTAGGATTTAGAGGTACTTGTGCTTTGGTATTCCTGAGCCCTTGGGTGTCGCCGAGGTTTCGATAGGAAAGGGGGCATCAGGCTCTTTAGGTTTTCCGAAGTAATTCGTGGCGGTAGCAATCGTACACTCAAGGGGCGTACACCTCGTCGAACTTTCTAATCCTAGCCATGGCATATATACGTGTGATGTGCAACAACATTCAGTAGGACTATGCAAGACTACCTACCTAACCTTTCCAAAACGGTTTGCTGAGCTCCGAGTCAATTGGAAGTCCATATGGCACGAACTAGGTGATACAATATGTCATATAATTAGCAACGCGTTAATTGGGGTTATGAGTCATCTCACGAGATGAAGCTAAATGGTATACAAACCTCATTATTCCATAAGGAACTATAAACTACCTAGCACCTAACAACATACCTGTTATGGGAGCATGTGGCTACAAATACTGAACATACTCGTTGTTCCGGAAAAATAAACTAGAATCCTAAAGAGTGAGACCTGTAATACCTCCCACAATACTGAAACATGAGTGACTTGGTTGATATACGGCGGTCAGGAAGGGGTTATTCGCGATGATGCAGCTGATCCGCGTCTTCGCTTCGGGGTGTCAATGTCAGTAAGAGCCTATTATAGCAAAGTTACCTAATGTACTCCTTTCTTCGCCTTCTCGTGTACAGTATCTCTGGAGCGAAAATGCGGCATGAACCGATGGCTCTTCTACCGCTCCGACCCGTCGACAGGGAAAGCCTTGAGGATCTACCCCGAAGAACATTTGACAGTTCCTGCACCCATGGAGATGCCATTGGGGGTTCACACATATGTGTCGTGAATTATTCTGGTACATACCTAGGTAGGTACCTCCTATTTCCTAACAAGACATTAGGACTACAAGGTTTACACTGCACATGCGTCAGGACTGTCAGGAATGGCAGAACTCTCGAGGTACAAAGATAATACCGTATGAGGTTGCTTATAATCAGCGACGCCTTTTTAGTACATTGATTTTACTTAAAATACTGCTAAGGATTTCGAGTTATTTACTTGGTGATTGGTTATCATAAAAATTCGGTAATTGCGTTGTCTCCGGCTAAAGCCCGTCTTTTCATTTTGTATGGATTCTAGAAAATAGGGGGTTATCTCCAGGCGACGCAACAAGCATGTGAATAACTTCACTGTGCCTCTAAGGAGCTCAACATATTGGACATAAAAGTAAGTATATAATCTTGATCTAAATATAAGGTACCTAGTTACGTAAGTCATTAATGATATTTTATGTTGTACATAAATCTTAATAGGAAAGCGTTGTATATATGGAAACTCGAGTTGGTATATCTATCGAAAAGGATTCGATTAGAAGCAGCAATGTAGGACTTTAAAAGCGATAGACTCATTAAGCTTATACTTTCTAGTTTCTCAGAGGGCTCCAAGGTTGTTGGTTCCTAGGCCTGCTTTTAGGTCTCCCATGGCTCTAGCTTACCCCCAAACTCGACCGTGATTATATATGAGAAGTTACATTGTGGCATATAGTTAGCTAAGTGATTAGATCATTGATGGTTAAATAATACCCACTTAATCTATTGAGATATTGAAAACGCTTAATAATATAACACATTCTTACAATATCCCCCTCCCCCTTCCCCTTTTTTGGTATAGGATAGATGTGATGCACGAGCAGGAGACGGAAAGCAACGACAAGAGCCAGCAATGACATTTGGATTTACCAATTGGCTGTGACACCAAGAAATCACGTAACGGATAGTTTGTTAGAAGCGACCCAGCCGTTGGTAAACGATTCCAAGTCGTTGGATACCCCAATACAACATGGTTTACCGGTGGCGGACTGATGAGGTGACCGGCCTGCCGGCCAAGACGCCAAGTCCTTCTCCCAGATAACAAATTTCAATACTCAAGTAATTAATAGCACCTCTCGATTAGAAATCCTACGCCGCGCACGAAAGACTTGGGACCCAGTAATTCGTATCCCTATACCTATACCTACCGTATGCCTTCGATCCTTGTCTTCGGATACCATAGCAATTGCAGAAGCCGGAAGCAAAATATAATAATCCTACTAGTTAAATCGTAAATTGGGCGGTGTAAATTGGTTGTGATTGGCTACATCGAAAAAGGTCTCCTGATATAGTTCCGTTAGTAGTCCGCGATGGATAGGAAGGGTTTCATTCCTATTGCAAACCTTTACCCTTCTAGCCATTCACATCGCGACCTATGACGTGGGGAGCGGTACACTCCACCCTGGGGACCCTATCTCTAATGCAAGGTGAACGATAGCACGTCCGGCTGGTCTCCGATGCAAACCAAAACTCTACTGGACTCCACCGGAGCCGACGGTCGCCTTATAAAAATGCATTCCTACCTAAAGCTTCGGTATTCCTGCCGAGGGATACTAAAGGTCTTAGTTGATAATATACCAAATATTATAGTAGGACAGGAAATTCAACTTAAGACACTTTATTAATTTACTATGGATCATCACCCTTCGCGCCCCTTGCCAGATGGGGATTTCTATCGTGACCCAGGCGCAGAAACTCCGTATACGAGTCTAGGCCTGGAAACGGGTGCTTTCCCTTCCGTGGTCGCTTCGCCTGACCCTTTATTAGGATCTTCTCGCGACAGCTATTTCTCCTTGGACCGCAAGGCCCTCGAGCAGGCTCTTAGCCAGACAACGGATGGGAGTCGGAGTAGCCAGATCGAGGTCCAGCTGCAGACGCGTGACATCACTGATCACGGTCGCGATGAAGTTTTTCTCGATCCCATGCTCGAGCTCAGTGCCATCAGGAGCCGGAGCGTGGCCGGACATCGTCCCGACGAGGAGAATGGCGGTAGCGGAGGGACGCCCGCACCGGCTTTATCACAGGGTATCCCACCCGAGCTACCAAACTTGGCCGCAGAGATAGTCTTCGTACTAGTCTGTAGTGCCGGTCAATTCATCTTTGCTCTGACTTACGGCCACGCGAATATTGTGCAAACGGCGCTGCGCGATGCTCTAGGTCTACCTGCTACGCAGACGCCCTGGGTGTTAGGTTCTGCATTGCTAGCTAACGGATTGTCGGTCATCGTCGCTGGATCACTTGCCGACTTAGTAGCCCCGAGACCCCTGATGGTGGGCGCCTTCTTATGGAGTGCATTGTGGCACGCCGTGGCCGCTGGTGCCATATCTCCTCGACTAAAGATCTTGTTCTTTATCTCTCGAGCTATGCAGGGACTTTCATTGGGAGTACTCGTATCTGCGTCTATGAGTATTCTTGGTCGCATCTACAAGCCTGGTGTTCGTAAGACGCGAGTCTTTTCGTTGAGTATGTGGTTCTCTGAAATTTTACGATTTTCCCTTTTCTTCCCCTTACGACCTTGGTTTAAATACTAGACTCATCGCTAACCGTCAATTTTTAGTGGCAGCTGGAGCTCCCTTGGGATTTTGGCTAGGTTGTATCCATGGTGGCGCGTTGGCGGCGCACCTCCCGTGGCTATTTGGAAGCACGACTATATTTCTGGTACTTTGCGCTGTCGCCGCGCAGATGACATTGCCAGATCTAAGCCCTGCAAGGGATAATAACGACGTGGATGCGCCTTCGCTTCGGCAGTTTGACTATGTCGGCGCTGCGCTATCATCCGTAGGGTGCGCGCTGGTACTTTTTGGATTGACACAAGGCTCTTCTGCCAATTGGAATCCGTATACGTATTCGCTCATTATCCTGGGCCTTTTGATGTTTGTCCTGTTCGCTTTTGTTGAACGTTCCGTCAAGCGGCCTCTGGTCCCCAATGGCCTATGGAAAACCCCTGGTTTTGCTGCGCTCCTCCTCGCATATTTCCTCGGGTTTGGTGGTTTTAGTAAGTTTTTCTTTATTGTTGTATTTATCGTCTACTGGCGATTATGAGCAAAGCACGAACTAACAAGAACGCTATCAAGCTGGCGCATGGCAATTCTACGCCGTCCAATTCTGGCAGCGTTACCAAGGCGCGAGTCCGCTTACAGTAGCTCTTTACATCCTTCCAAATGGAATCGTTGGTGTGCTGGCGGCCTTCATTGTATCCAAGACGCTTCATGTCTTCCCAGGACACTGGATCTTTACGGCAAGTATGATTTGTTTCGCCTTGGGACCGGCCTTCTTCCTGCCCCAGACGCCATCCACACCGTATTGGGTGCTTTCGCTGCCAGGTGTGGCGCTCGGGACATTCGGCCCTGACATGAGCTTTGCGGCGGCGGCCATCTTCATTACATCCAGTGTCCCGAGATCATACCAGGGGTCGGCTGGGGCTTTGCTGGTAACAGTTCAAAACTTGACTGCGGCCATCATGACGTCGATTTCCGACTCAATTGGTATAAAAGTAGATCCGTTACCCTCGGGCGAAATCGGACTTGAAGGACTTAAGGCCATTTGGTGGTTTGGCCTCTCTTCTGCACTAATGGGGGCTCTGATTACAGTAACATTTGTGCGAATACCCAAGGCTGAGGAAAAGGAGCACGTACAATAAAGACCTAAGGAATATGTAAGATGGATACATGAGTTACGACAGGCGTTTGGAGAAATATAGGAAATATAGGCAGGTAGGAGAGACCTAAGGTAGGTGGGTGTATTACCTTAGATATCCGTACCTGTCCAGGGCTAATAAATGATATCCGCATTGGAGAATAATGCTGTAAAGCTATTGTCCCTAACATAAGGTGTCGAACGAGGGCCGAATATGTCTCAAAGCTCCTTGTTTGAATTCCTTAATCAGAGCTGACTCTGGGAGAAAAGAGCGCAGAAGAGGGAGAATGACGATGCACATGAAGCGTTTCAGCTGCCAAGATTCTAGACTTCCGCTGTTTCAACAACCCTCCGCCGCAGCTGAGAGACAGGTATTGTATTGTACCTCTTAGGGTAATCAGTACAACTTGAGCGTATGCGGCATATATGAAGAATCCTGACGACATTATGTTAGGTAGACCTTGAAAAACATGGCTAGATTCGATCGTTCTAATATCTGACATGGTAATTATCCGATAAGGCAGGTGGCTTAGCTGACGTTGTCGTCACATCTTGAATTTGTATGAGCCAATCAGTTCCTTGTTGAGTGCGCTATACGTTCATCGATCACCGTCTTTCCTTCGGCGTCTATATCATCTATGTTTACCTCTTACGGGTATTGATAGAACTTGAAGTAGAAGTGAAGTGGAAGAGAAGAGGAAAAGATAATAATCATTGTTTAAGACAAGACAATTTATTTTAAGAAGGATGCCTTGTAGGCATCAGGTCAGGTGGTAGGTGGCAGGGTGGTAGGTAGTAAAAAGACCATCGCAGAAGCGTTGTAGCTAGTGGATGGTGTTTACGCTAGTTAGTAGGTACGCTAAACTGTTGCTATTGCCGTCAGGCTGTACCTAGGTACCTAAAGATATAATTGATTTCGCCTCTGCTGCGCCTCTCGATTTACCGGTTGCACCCTGCCTCTCGGCAAACCGGCAGGATGGGGTACAAAGCTGAGCTAACTAGGTATTGTATTGTACAATTCGGTACCACATAATATCCTTACAGTTAGGTACCTCCTACGATGCCCTGCAAAAATTACAACTGTAGGCTGGTAACGTAGGTAGTAATAACCACGCAATGCGATGCAGACCTGATTCAGGCGCTTCGTCATCTTGTAGCCGCTCTCCTATCCCCCTTTTTATAAATAATGATTTTTTTACTACTTGGGTATCGTCCTATCTTTTTTATTTGAATTACTAATACGCGTAACCTTTCCTAGTCGTCTATAGTTCGGTCGCACTGCCGCAAACAACTGTATTAAAATAACCTCGCGGTATAATCTCACGGTACACAAGATCCAAGGAATACCAGGTAGGTAGCCCTCTTTCTTTCTCGGCAACTTAAAAAGCTTAGCAGCCTTTAGCATCTTTTAGCATCTTTTCTGACCCGTCACTTCCGCCACTTTAAGGTTTAGGTATCTAACCATCCTCCCATTTTTTACCTAGTCGTTTTTAGTCATTTCAGGTCGTCCTAATCGTCTTGGCGCAAATCGCCTTGGCTAAATTCCTCCTTGGCATCCAGGCTGGGACTTCACATCTCCATCTCTATTCTCACTCTCACATTCGTCCGTTACCTGCTGGGTTGGTCTTGTCGCTTGTCTGTTGTATTATTCATTCACTCATATAATCCACTCTTTTTCTCTTTCTTTATTAGCCGCTGGCGTCTTCCTAATTTCCTTATTATACCATTCATCCTCGAGTCGCATTCTCTTCTGTTTGGTCTTATTTCTTCACTCATCTGATTTCCCTCTGGTTCGAGGCCGGTCCGTAAAGTAATAGGCCGCGTCATCCCGACATCTCATCATCCCATCATCCTACGAGGAACCTTAAACAGCTGGCTTGCTTGGGTTACCCCACGGAACCAATCTCTTGGCTAATTACTCGAGTACTTACACTGCGCCAAATCCCTTCACAATTACTTATCAGTCCGAACTTCTTAGTGGTTCCGGTTCAGATCATCTGAAGTATGAAAACTGTAGCGACTTTTGCGGCCGGCGCATTGGCCGCTTCTGTTGCTCATGCGCAAGTTGTGCAATGGGACATATATAGGAGACAGACAGAAACCAAGCTTACGAGACGACAAGATGGGACAGTCACTGAGATTATCACCAACGAGAAGCTCAGAGGAGGTTACTTCGCCTCCTGTACGGTTGGAACCCCAGGCCAGAATTTAACATTGCAACTCGATACAGGATCCAGCGACATCTGGGTACCTTCACGTAGTTCCAGTGTCTGCCAAGAAACCTCTGATAACCAGGGCTGCACTTTAGGGTCTTGTAAGTGATAACCACATCCTAAGGCGGCTCAAAAATAGTGTATATCGTGAGAGTTTACCATAACTAACTCAACGTCTTATATTTCTTTAGTTGACGAAAGCGAGTCTACAACTTTCTCGGTCGTAGGGGAAAATGAGTTTAGCATCTCCTATGTCGACGGCAGCCACGCCAAGGGCGACTACATCACAGAGACGTTTGAAATCGGCGGCGCGAAGTTGACCAATCTGACCATGGGCCTCGGTATCAACACCGACATCCCCTACGGTCTCGTCGGTGTGGGATATGCTGCTAGCGAGGCTATTGTTGACAGCACCCGCTCTACTTCTTCCGTATACGATAATCTCCCGTTATTGATGCAGAAGCAAGGCCTCATTGCGACAAATGCGTACAGCCTGTGGTTGAATGATTTAGACGCGAGTACTGGTAGTATCTTGTTTGGCGGGATAGATACTGAAAAGTACCGTGGCGACCTTACTCGAATAAACATCTACAAAGACTCACGCTCTGGAATTTTCTCGTCCTTCACTGTCGCCTTAACGTCCATCCAAGCTTCATCTTCGTCAGGAACCGACTCCCTTGCCGCCGATTTTCCTATTCCTGTTATCCTCGACTCTGGCACTACATTCAGCTACTTGCCAACAGAGCTAGCAGAACAAATCTGGCAGGAGGTGGGCGCCGTGTATTACGACGAAGTGAGCCTTGCGCTACTCCCTTGCGACATGAAAAATAGCCAAGGTCACTTCTCATTCGGATTCGGAGGCACTGGCGGTCCAGTTATTAATGTAACGATGGATGAGCTTGTTCTACCCCTGACTAGTGGCAGCAGATCAATCCCGCTGCCAGATGGTCCAAACGCAGGAGAAGCGGCCTGCCAATTTGGCATCCAAAATTTCAGCAGCAGCAGTACCACATTCCTTCTAGGAGACACCTTCTTACGGTCCGCTTATGTGGTCTACGATTTAGTCAACAACGAAGTCGCCCTTGCGCCTACAGACTTCAATTCCACCACGTCTAACGTAGTGGCCTTCCCTAGCGAGGGTGCTCAAATCCCCTCGGCCACTGCGGCGCCTAACCAAGCAGAAGTCACCCAGAGCGGTTCTCTCACGACGCCATCGTACGGTGCCAGCGGTGGCTTCCAGGACGATAAGGAATCTGCCGCCTCACTCCCGCCTCCTTTAGACTGGTCCAGGATAGCTGTAATAGGAGCTAGTATGGGTCTTGTAACTGTGGGCAGCGGATTTTTCCTGCTTTTCTAGGAGCATTTGATCGAAAGCGAATCGGGTTGGGTTACATTGGTGCATCATTTCTGATTTACCGTCATCTTTATTTATTTATATATGTCCAGTCGAATAGGTGGTGTTTTGGATAAAAATCGATGCTGAACCGTTCAATATTTGAAGCATACCTACGGTTCGTGATTCTATCTAACTAGGTATAGATTGGTTGGGTCTTACAGAGCATTATAAAAATAATTAAGAGCGGTAATAATGCTATATTAGAAATTTGGTGACGGCTACTCAATTATATTGTAGTATGATGGAAGTAAGAATATACCTCCGTGGTGTAAGTGGAATTGCAGGTGACATTGGTAGTAGTAGAAGTACTTAGGTACCTCTTAAAGATTAAAGATGTGGAATTGATGTGGAATTGACGCACTGTGAGTGGTTCCTGAGGGGTGGGTGGGATTTAGCTCCCCGATAAGCCGTTATCGCTTTCCAATTGCCCCGAAAAATTCTTAGCTTTCATCGATATCGAGGAAAGAGAAAATAAAATATTGAACGCTACCGTCCACAATCGAACGGCAGCTTATCTTTGACCTTGTGCCCTTTCTTTTTTCTTCTTTCGTTGCGGTCCTTCTTCTTCAAACACCTTCGTTTCTGCATTCGTTTGCGTGTTAGGAATTATGAGGGTGCAGCGTGCCGTAGCTGTCCTCAATGACAGCCGGATCTTAGGGTCGAGATGCAGTGCTCGATTTCTCAGTGTGGGCTCCAGAGTCCCGGGATCTCGTTCTCCTGCCCAGTTGATCGCTGCTCCGTTACGTGTAGAGGGAAGAAGATACTTCAACCTCACAAAGCCGAGATTTGCCGCAGTCGGTTCCGCCGCCGCCACCGCAGCGTAAGCTTCCCTGTACTGTTGTACTATTGTACTATCTCGAGTTGTTTTTACGGATGAATGGTGGCATGGCCGACTTACTGATGTCCAATTGCCAGTCTGAAGAAAGCTGCCGAGGAGGCCGCGAGCCTCACACCTGAAGCAGTCTTCGCCAAGATGAGCACAGAAGAGAAGAAGCGATTATCCAGAGTGCGCAACATTGGTATCGCTGTACGTTAACAACCGCTTCTGCGAGAATGCGCAGGGAGGGATCATGCTAAACTTCGGCATAGGCACACATTGACAGTGGAAAAACCACAGCTACTGAACGTGTACTGTTCTATACCGGACGAATCAAGGCTATTCACGAAGTACGAGGCAGAGATGGCGCCGGCGCCAAGATGGACTCTATGGAGCTTGAACGAGAGAAGGGAATTACCATCCAGTCCGCTGCCACGTTCTGTGACTGGAAGAAGGTAGAGGATGGTCAAGAAAATACCTACCATATCAACTTGATTGATACCCCAGGACATATCGACTTTACTATCGAGGTCGAACGTGCCCTGAGAGTTTTGGATGGAGCCGTCATGATTCTTTGCGCTGTCAGCGGCGTTCAGTCCCAGACAATTACCGTAGACAGACAGATGAAGCGATACAACATTCCTCGAATCAGTTTCGTGAACAAGATGGACCGAATGGGCGCCAATCCCTGGAAGGCTGTTGAACAGATCAACTCCAAATTAAAGATCCCGGCCGCTGCTATCCAAATACCGATTGGTACCGAGGACCAGTTCAAGGGTGTTGTTGACCTGATCGGTATGAAGGCCATCTACAGCGAAGGCCCTAGGGGAACAATTGTTCGAACCGGCCCCGTCCCCGAAGACTTAAAGGAATTTGCGGAACAAAAGCGCCAGGAACTTATCGAGAAATTGGCAGATGTCGATGACGAGATCGCCGAAATTTTCTTAGAAGAAAGCACCCCATCCAACGAACAAATCATGGCCGCTATCCGGAGATCAACGATTAACTTGAAATTCACTCCGGTTATGATGGGTTCTGCTTTAGCCGACAAATCTATCCAACCCCTTCTTGATGCTGTTTGTGACTACCTGCCCAACCCTGCCGACGTCAATAATGTGGCATTGGATCGCTCCAAGAACGAGGCCGAAACCCAGCTGGTCCCTTATAACTCACTGCCGTTCGTTGGACTGGCATTCAAGCTCGAAGAGAACAATTACGGCCAGCTTACATACATCCGAGTTTACCAGGGTACCCTGAAGAAGGGTACTTACCTTTTCAACTCGCGAACCGATAAGAAGGTCAGAATTCCCCGAATCGTACGAATGCATTCCAACGAAATGGAGGATGTCAATGAGATCGGAGCTGGTGAGATTTGCGCTGTGTTCGGTGTCGAATGCGCGTCAGGCGATACTTTCACCGACGGAAACTTGCCGTATACTATGTCTTCTATGTTCGTACCTGATGCAGTTATGTCGCTTTCTATTAAGCCCAAGCGAAGTACGGATGCCGACAACTTCAGTAAAGCGATGAACCGATTCCAACGTGAAGATCCTACCTTTAGATTGTTCGTTGACGAGGAAAGTGAGGAGACCATCATCTCGGGTATGGGTGAATTACACTTGGAAATTTACATCGAGCGTCTGCGACGAGAATATAAGGTCGAGTGTATCACTGGCCAACCCCGAGTAGCCTACCGTGAGACTATCAGCAACAAGGCTGATTTCGACTATCTCCTAAAGAGGCAAACCGGTGGACCTGGTGACTTTGCTCGTGTGGGTGGATGGATCGAACCAAATGACGAGCCAGAGAAGAACAGCTTCTCCAACCAGGTTGTGGGCGGTACTATTCCCGACAAGTTCATCTCTGCCTGTGCTAAGGGTTTCGAAATTGCTTGTGAGAAGGGCCCGCTGCTAGGTCACAAGGTTATTGGAGCCCGCATGGTGGTAAATGACGGTGCAACGCACGTCACGGACTCTTCCGATTTCGCTTTCAGTTTGGCAGCGCAGATGGCGTTCCGCAAGACCTTCCCCGAGGCTGGTGGCCAAGTGCTGGAGCCGTTGATGAAGACCACCATCATGGCACCCAACGAGTTCCAGGGCAACGTTCTCATGTTAATGAACAAGCGCAACGCGACCATTATCGACACAGAGATTGGCAGCGAGGACTTCACACTGATTGCCGACTGCAGTTTGAACGCTATGTTCGGCTTCAGCACACAGCTAAGAGCGGCTACCCAAGGAAAGGGAGAGTTCAGTATGGAATTCTCGCATTACGCGCCTGCGCCGCCGCATCTACAGTACGTTTTTCTTTACTCGGCGCTTTTTTCTTCTTTTTTCCCCTTGTACCTTATGAATTTGAACGCACCAATTTAACTAACGAATATTCACTTGCAGGAGAGAGTTGGTTGCCAAGTACGAGAAGGAGCTTGAGGCTAAGAGGACCAAGTAAAGTCATTTACCTCTAATGGAGTCCTATCTTGGGGCTCCGGGTGGTCATGAAAAAGGTTTTGGGCACCACAGCCTTAAATTTGACTACCTCCTTGCCGAGCGCGTAAGTGAAAGCCGGCTGTCGCAATAATGGCCGCATTGTTAGCGGCTTAGTCAATATAGACGAGGCATACTCCTGCCCTGGAGTTACGACTACGGTTGGCTATGGGGTGTATAATATAGCATGATGACATACTTCGATATGCAAACATAACCTGTATATAAAGCATATAAGTGCAACATCGGGACATGGGGGGGCATATGGCCGGATGGCAGGGTACGCACTCGGTCCGGTGCTTATGCTCATGAAGGATGAAATAAATGATTTCGGCGTCTACTTCATTCAAGAGCACGATTATGGATAGCTCGATGTGTATGTAGAGTACGGCGCCTAGTATACTGTAGGTAGGCAAAAAAATTAGAAACATCTTCTCTCTAGTCTTTACACCGGTTTCTTGGGTCGACTTAATTCTTTTTATGATATAGAGGTACCTAGGTAGGTATGTATGTACTGCAATTGGAAATCTTTTGATTAGTATCATTTGAGTCTAGGTCATAACTTTTTTGGTCTGCTCTTTGATTCCTACTTTTCTATAACCCCCCCTTTTTTTTCTCTTCTCCTTTTCATATTCTTCATTTCATAGGTATTTAACATGACCAACGCTCACGCTTGCTAACCGTATATATACCTTAGGTTAGGCAGGTAGGTAGGTGGGTCCCTACAGATAACGAGGACCTGTTAGGAGACACGACTTGGCGTACAGGATATACCTACAGTCTGTTAAGGATATCCTGCACGACCTCCTCGGTCGTGGCCTTGCCGCCCAGGTCGGGCGTCAGCAGCTTTCCTTCCTCGAGGTTGGCGTCGACGGCGGCGTAGATCATGGCCGCGGCGTCCTGCTCGTCCAGGAACTCGAGCATGAGCGCGGTGCTGCGTAGCGTGGCGATCGGGTTGGCGATGCCCTTGCCCTCGATGTCGGGCGCGCTGCCGTGGCACGGCTCGCCGATCGCGAAGCCCTCTCCGACGTTGGCCGAGGGGACCAGGCCCAGGGAACCGACGAGCGCCGCGGCGCCGTCGGACAGGATGTCGCCGTACAGGTTCGGGGCGACGATGACGTCGTAGGCTTCGGGCTGCCGGAAGAGCTTGTACACCATGCTGTCAACGATCTGCTCTTCGATCGTGACGGCGGAGGCGAAGCGAGGCACGGAAAGAGCGGCGCGGGACGCGGTGCGGAAGAGGCCGTCGGTCTGAGATAGGACGTTGGATTTGTGGGTTATGGTGACGAGAGGGCGAGAGTGGATAGACAAGGAAGGGGATGAGTCGCGGATCTTCTGTCGGCGAAGAGCAATCTCACCCGCTATGGTAGCGATACGGCTAGACGCGCGCTCGGAGATGCGCTTGATAGCCTCTGCGTACTTGCCGCCCTCGCTATCGGGGCGTTCGATCGTGCGCTCCTCCTTCACGTACAAGTCCTCGGTGTTCTCGCGGACGATGACCATATCGATGGGCTTGGCGGCGGTGCGGACGGTCTTGACGGGGCGCACGTTGGCGTAGAGGTCGAGCTTCTTGCGCAGGGCGACGATGGGAGAGGAGTAGCCCTTGACGGCTTTCGAGGGCGAGGACACGGCGCCGAAGAGGGCGCCGTCGCACTCGTTGCGCAGGACATCGACGGTGCGGTCGGGCAGGGCGACGCCGGTCTTCTCGAAGGTCCCGAAGCCCGCGTGCAGGTCGCAGAACTCGAACTTGAGCCCGAGCGACGACGGTAGGGCTTCGAGGATTCGGCGGCCGGCGGGGATGACTTCGCGACCGATACCGTCACCGGGGATGAGGCCTGTTTTTGGGGGGGAGAGCGATTGCGGGTTAGAATGCGTGTGTTTTTATTTGATTGAGTGATGTATAATGTTTGGCATAGGTGTGTAGCAAATACTGACCAATTCTAAGCACGCGGGAGGCCATGTTGCAGGTTCAATTGAGTTTGCGGGATGGTTGCGTGATGCTGGATCAACTTCGCAAAGCTGAACGAAGCGTGACGGAGCTTCCGTTGACAAAATTTCTGGTGGTGGGGTCTCGTCCAATACCCTGGCCGGGATCGGAGGGGTAATTTCAGGGGACTACTTAGGTACATGGCCTGTAGGCTAGGGCCTAGGCGGGCTGTAGTAAACGGACTTGCAGATTCATTGAGGTCCCATTCCCTCCAGGTTCCACGGCAGTTTAGATGCAACAAATTTCATGCAGTTAAATTACTGCACCATTGGTTTTCGGCGACATGCATGCCTTACAACAATGACGACGACGAAAAAAAAGAAGAGAAAAATAAAAGGATAATGAAAATAGGAATTATTTGATAAAATATTCCGCTGCACGCAGGTGCTTGCTTATAAGACTTACGACAACTGACAGCCTATGAAATTTTAAAAGATCTAATAGAGGAGATGCGTGTTCGTTACAAGGTACCTAATAAGGTATCTAATAAGGGCCGGACCTGAAACATGTTACTTACCTAATATTCATATAACCTAGGTAATTATATTCACTTGTGGTTTCGATGCGTCCTTGACTTGACTGGCGCATATGAGAGGAAAAGAAGAAGAAAAGAAAGGAAAGATTATAAACTCCGTGCCATCCGCGCGACTAGGTAGATCTTCTCAACCTGTACTATGTAAATCCGTAGGTACCTAATCCCAACCTAGCTCTAGTAAGAGTCATAAGGATGGAATACGGGGGATTGCTTTTGTCAGCTGCGCATAAATGTCGAACCCGTGTTCATTTGTTTCGACAGTGCGGCTCTGGTAATTTTGTTAATATTCAATTTCTCGAACTCCCTCTTGGCTTTGGAGCTATTGATCATTAGACTTTTTTATGCGTTGCCATGTTGTAGTCACCCATGTATCATCTGTGCACTTCGAACCTGATGATAGCATAAGGTAGCGTACGGATCTGTAAGTATTGCACAATATGTTAGATGGCTTGCATAGGGTTTTCATCTGCAAAATAATTCTAGAATTATTCCATGTATTAGTGGCCCGGTTAAAGGATTCAAGGATTAATGTAGGTATAAATATCTTGACTAATAAAGGATGCTTGCTTAAATATAGGCCGTCTTAGGTAAGTTGTTAAATTTATCGTATAAAAAAAAGTGTACGAAGTATACGCCATGCGCTATGTTTGATTTTCGCATATCTGTTCTGTTTTGTAGGTATTAAGTAGGAAATGAACTCCTTCGGACGGCAATAACTTCGCACACACGCGTCCGTAGGAACAATTAGGTACGTAGGAGCAATACGACGATGCTATGATGCTATGATGCTATGATGCAACGGTGCTACGATGCTACGTGAGATCAGTGATCTTAGCAGAAAGGAGAAGTTAGATAAGGTAAGTAAGGTTAGCTACATCCTACATCCCCGTGACATCTATTGAAATTCATTGACCTCGTTGTCGGTTATCAATCTTGGGTTCCTAAGTTGTCTACCAGGTTAAACCGTACCTAACCTTAGGTACGGATATCCGTAGGTACCTAGGTATGTACCACATGTCCGCGGGTATGTACGACATTGAAATTGAACCACGATATGACCAGGCTGTCAAACCGTCAGACCAGACGTTCATACGAACCGTACTTTAATATTTCTGTGTCCCAATTCAATGTTCCCGCTTCCTCAGGTCGCCTCGGTATGCCGTTAGACACGTTTTGGGACTTCATGCAAACCCCTGAGCCCCACTTTATCCAAGCGCGAAATAGCGTGTGTACAATACCGTAACCTACCTAACCTAAGGTATCTACAGGCTTAGGTATCAAGGTACAGATTAATAAAACCCCCCAAAACAGTACCTACTAATTTGTATAATACCCAAGCGTTGTACGGATTATGTATAATTAGGTTAGGTTAGGTACTTACCTCAGGTACAATCCAATACGCCCGTAGGTATCCACCCTGCCTAGCAAATGGACCTAACTGGGCAATTTGATTAAAGGAACCAGTCTCTTGCTGGTCACTTCTAAGGCCCGCCTAGGCCGTGCCTTATTATTAGGCCACATACCACCAAATAATTCTAAAGCCGTCACCACTTATTAAGTTCCCTCCAGTTACTCGTTACCTCTCTTTAAAGCTTTTCCCTCCTTAATAAGGGCCACCTTTTTTTTCAACAACTGTATTATTTATTTTACAATTGTATAGTTACATCTTCGCCAAACTGCGTGCGAATTTATAATCCCTCCCCCCCTTTTTTTCTTTCTTTCCCATCTTAGTTGCAGCATTTTGTCTGTTGAATTCTAAGATAGAAACTATGAAGGGTAACCTATAACTCAAGGTTGATATTCGCGTTAAGTCCAACTTTGTCTTTATAGTTTCCTTATCTTCGATACCCCTTAAAAGCTTTACCTCTGATGTACGACTTCAACGCGACCTGACCTCGTTCGATAAACTTTATTACTACCATACCGGGCAATAATATCTCAAGTTAATCCTCTTTATCGTTTTCGCAAAGCTCAATTCGACTCCAAATTTCTAAGGCCCAGGACAAATAAGCCAGCCGCTGGACTAGGACCGCCAGGCAAACCAAGGAAGATCCAACAGGCAAACCCATTCCATCCACCAGCCGATAGAGGAGAAAAGAGGAAAAGAAAAAAAAAGAAGAAAAAAAAAAAGAAGAGAAAAAGCAAAGAAAACTTTAGGGCATGCCATCCATCCTTACAAACGAAATCTGCACTTTCCCGCGGTGACAATTGTTGATCTATGATCGGTAGCAACTGATTGGTAGCAACCGATCGGCTCCCTGCTTTTTTTGCTCTTCCCATAAAACCTTGGAAAGGCTCATCAATCGCAACCATGTCGGGAGTCAGGAACCTCCGTGCCATGTTCGAACAAAAGGGTGAGAATAACCCTCCAGATCGAGGAAGATCTCCTGGTCCATCCGGTGTTTCAGTTGGTATGGCGCCTCTCCTGTAGTCGAGACAACTTGGCTTGTTAAGACATCGCCTACTCAAAATCTCAAAATTCCTATCATAAATATACCCCCCAAAGTCAACCCAGTTGTTTTCTTTGCTCAAATTCCACAATTATATCGTCATCCCCAACTCCTAGCTCTTTCTTGGCTACGTCATCATCATCATCATCGTCTTGTTTTGTTAAATCTCCGAACGCTTTACTTCCTTTAGTCGCTATAGCTAACATCGCCTTCTCTTTCTCAGCAGGATCTCCCTCTCCTACTCATTCGCCTCGCCCGCTTTCCAAGGTTCGGACTACCTTTGTGGCGATTGAAAAGGACGGTCGGTTAGGGTTGAGAAGAGAGCCCAGTGGGGATTCGGTCTCTGTTTCTAGCCAGAAGCTCAGTGACGCTACTGACGCTACTACACCACAGCCGGTGCCCGAGAAACCAGAGCCCTTGGCTGAGAACATGGCTAAGAACGTTTCGGCCTTTAAAGCGAATTTGTCTCAAGAATCTATCCCAGAGTCGCCAGTTCAAGCCGCCCCTCCTAAGTCTCCCACGAAATCTTCTCCAAAGAAGCAGAGCTCGAGTCCTCCTCTGGCTCCGAACCCAAATCCAGACAAGGTAACAGATGAGGAGGAAACAAGGACGAAATTACGACCAGGAAATCCGACAGAGAAATCGGTGTCAAGGGGAAGTAGCGTAGCGCCAGCGAGTGGACGTAGTAGCGCGTCGACAAATAGCAGCAAGACAAAGACCGCTACCGCCACTAAACCCGCTCCCAAAGCTGTTTCTACCACAGCTAAGCCCGTGTCTAAAGCTCCCAAGTCGCCCAAGACTCTTAAGCCAGCGAGTAGCACTGCGAAGCCTACTTCCAGTACTTCGAGCCTGGCTTCTCAAAAGAGGTCTACTCCTGCATCGTCCAGAGAGCGCGAAGCGCCTAAAAAGGCGGCCGCTACGACTGCAAAGCCGGCAGCTACATCTACCAAGAAACCAGCATCCCTCGATCTCCCATCATCGGGGGCCGGGTCTGTAAAGCCAAAGGCTAAGTCGCCGACTCGGCCAGTCAAACTACCGTCATCTTTGACGGCGCCCACTGCGGCTTCCGCTTCCAAGCTTGGAAACAGCACCGCAGCTCAGCCTCCTAGACAGTCTCTGTCGCGAGCTTCTGGTAACGCTCAGCATCACAACGTGAGTTCTACTACATATAGGTCGCCTAGCAGGCAAAGCCTATCTAGTTTGAGCACTACATCTAATACGAATGGCCTGAAACGTCAGACTTCGGCTGCTAGTCGACCACGCCCTAGTTTTGGGCCTCCTCCGAAGCCAACGGCTAGAGATCACCCGATTATTAAGAGGGATGGTCACGTCGACGAAGGGTTCCTCGCGCGAATGATGCGCCCAACTGCAAGCAGTTCCAGCAAGACTGCTGATAAGGCGCCAGTGACGCCACCCCGAAAGCCGACTACACCCTCAGCCAGCCAGAAGAGGGTAGCGGCCAAGGATGGTGAGGGGATCGCGAAGAAAGCGGTGTCCAGAGTCCAATCTGCAACGAACAAGGCTAAGGCAGCAACAGAGAGCACAAAGCCTGCCGACAAGAAGACCCCATCAGCAAAGGAGGTTGCTCCAGTCGTCGCCCAAGCTGAGACGGCAGAAGCAGCTATCGAAACCGCCAAGGTTTCGGCCGATACTGCTATCAAGGAGGGCAGCGTTTCCTCGGAAAAGTCTTCCGAGCAAGTGACGACGGTTCCCGCCGTTACTGAAGACCCAGAGAAGGTTGAAGACATTGAGGATGTAGTTCAACCGGCACTAGAACCTGCCGCTGAGATATACGCGGCTAAGAGCGAAACCGGAGATGTACAAGAAGAGCTGCCCGTATCTGAAGGTGCCAATGAGGTCGTTCCTCAAAGCGAGGCTGCCGAAACGACTGAAGAGGTAAAGGCTGAGGGACAGCTGATAGGGGAAACTTTCTAGGTGCGCGAGACCTTATGATAGATATCACCTCAATATGCCCGATGAAACCGGTCAGATTTCTGTCCAGCTAGCTGTAATAAACAGATCTGTTGAGCCGGTAGAGGCAGGAAAAGAAAAGGTCCCAAATTTGTTTGTATTCGGCCCGGCGCAGATGATACCTTTTTTCTCTTAAAAATCCATTGGAAGCATATGGGGATTCTTTTCTGTTCCGTTCCCTCGCGGTGCGCACGGCATCGCTTGCGGAGTTGGTTGATAGGTGGTAGGTAGTAAAAATACCTATTAGCATACCTCCTAGGTTAAACTGGTCTTTATGAGTATCTATCTGTTATGTGTATTCGTCGTAAGCCTGAAAGTAGGGAAGTTCATTAGCGTATTAAGGGTAAATAATGAAAAAAATAAAATAAAATAAACAATTATATAATATAACCAATCCTAGTTCTAGTATTAGAGTATGTTGTAAAGGGGGTAGCTGTATGTTCATCGTGTTGTTTGATAAGACTTTAATATGAACATTTTCATCACGAGTGGCGTTGTTGATTCCCCTATACAGATGCATTGCAGTTTGTCAAATCGGATAATTTATGATATGCGAGTATGTATAATACAACTAAGTACGCAGACGAATAATTGGCGTCCATTTCTGCTTATTTTATGTACATGAAGCCCCTCTACCATTTTCCGCCTGCGTATCCTGTTTTACATCTTGTCTACCGAACGTTGGCCGCCGTGCAGGCGGCCTCTAACGGTCGAAACCATATGTATAGCGTGTCTTGCCGAGACTCCGTAAACATCATTTGAGATGCGGAGTATGTGCTCATCATCTCGTAGACCAGACCCTCTCCTAACCCCTTTCGAACGAGACGAATTCTGTCGATATTCACCTCTCCTCACCCTTGATATATCATCCTCCCCGCTCCGAGTGCGCAGACAAGTTGTTATACGTAAAACTCCCCGTTGCTAACTCCAGGTACCTTAGGTAGACAACTACCTGTTACGGAGCATCGTCCAAGTGAATCGAATCCAGACGACGGATCACGGGCCGATCCGGCATAGCAAAAGACCACCGACTTTGCGCTCGACGGCCTCGCGAATATCCAGGGTACCCGCGTCGGTGGTGAGGATGATGGACTCGCCGAGGTTCAAGCCGCGGTAGCCTTGGGCGTCGAGACCGCGGGCGAGGCGCTGCAGCTTGTTCAGCTTCAGGTTGAGGGGCTTCTTGGGGGTGGTCAGGGGGGTCATGTATCCGAGGACGGGCCGGCCGCCGGCGCCGGCGTTGTACTTGAGGCCGAGCCACAGGCGCTGTTTGGCCACGTTGGCGGTCGTCAGGGGCTCGGGCTCGAAGGTCGTGATCGTGGCCGGGTCCGGCGGGCGGGTCCCGCCGCGCGTGACGAAGGAGATCCAGCCCATCCGGTGCAGGACGAGCGCGACGTTGAGGTTGTATTTTGTGAGCGGGACCGAGGTTATGCCTAGACGTGCCCGCGACGCATTTGTTACGTGCGAGCACATGTTGACTACATTGGCAATACCCATCTTGGCGAGAGAGTGTGAGAGAGAGAGATTTGTTGGCTCTATGTGTGTGTGCGCGATGGGCCCCCTGCCGGGCTCTCGATTCGGACTCGACAGTAAAAATTCGGCGGATTCTGATTTTTGGGGGGATCCTGGGTGGGTAGGATAGCCCCGTTGTCTGCGCTTCGAGGGATCACAACGGCGAGGAGGATCTTGGAAGAAGATGGAAGTAGGAATTGAAGCTATCGCCAAATCCCAGAACCGAAAAAAAGATGTGGGTCTCAATCGATTCCAAGAAAGTTTAGGCGGATAATCACAGGGCCGATTTCTACCTCCTATCGATAAGGATAAGTCAATGCCCCCCATTGGAAATGGAAATGGCCGGAGTGGATCGCCTAAGCTCTCTTTTATTGGCTATCTGCATTACCCCGCCATAAGGTAGCAGCTTGCCTAACGGTCTGACGGTTAGCAGCTTCTAGCAGAAGAGTGGGCGGTTAAGCGCCGAATGAACTCCCATTTCCGCACATTCTGCAGACTGCAACCCGGCTGGCCCGGCCGTCCCTCTTTGATACCTGGGTCGGGAAAGGGCCATGGAAATAGCGAAGGTCGTACCACTGGCAGGTGGTACCTAAGGCTAATAAAGGTCAGGTATTATTTTAGAAGTGGCATCTGTCGCAGAAAAATAATCGTCATTTAGTGGTGAGCTTTTTGGAGAAGCAAGTTTTACCTCTCCAACTTTTTTTTTGTTCCTTGTTTCCATTTTCTCCATCTTTTGTCTCAAGTGAATTTGAAGCTATCGTCAGTTCCTATAAACCGTACGGATAACACAATCGAGGCTGGCCTCAATCATTTTCCGTCTCTTTTTTTCTAACTTAATTCACCCGTAATTATATCATTTCCTCTTCCTCAGTTTTAGTTATAAATCACTATCTGTTAGTCTTACGCACTCGAGATGGCGGTTCGACCTGGTGAGGAGAATGTTGCAACTCTGTAAGTGCCCAAGTAGCCAACAATTTCACAGTCCATAGTACAGTTCATAGTAGCTCACAATCTCTCATTCTATAGCTTCGGAGATGTTCACTATTTCTACGGGCCTCCAGAGGCGAACCCGCCTCACCACCGCTTTGACAAAGGCTCTTATGTGTACTTGTTCGAGAATGCGAATGACCGAAGAGCGCGGATTGAGATCGCGAATCACCCAGGCACAGAAGATCAAGATGCCTTTGACGGATGTAAGGATACACTCAAAAATCACTATTTGCCGTACCGCGTCTATTTTAACCTTGGCCTAACACTCCTCACCCTATAGATCTAGATAGAACGAGGATTCAGTATTCGTATAAGCAACAATGTCTCGTGAACATTTTAGTCGAGGGCGTAGCCGGTCCGCCAATAGACCAGAGTCAATGGCATCTTCCAACGTACGATCCGCGCAATGAGAATAAATATCACTACAAACTACATTCTCTCGACATTTACTTCTGGACCCATGGAGACGCCCTACAGTTTGTCAACGGCATAAGGAGGGTTCTGCCAGCATCTCAAGTAGATGTCGCTGACGAGCCTGCTCCACCACCGCACCCGTATGGCCAGTCTCAAGAAACGAATGCTCTAGTCCAGAAGCTAGAGAATGTTGCCATCTCAGATCCCAAGTATTCAAGTCCCAAACCAGCACCGCAAGGGATACCTACCTTCGCACCTCCTCCAACCTCGGCAGCAACAGACGATAGTAAGAGTACCTCACCTCAAAACTTTGTTCCCATAGCATATAATCCCGCTGCCCCGGCGGCTGCGGAACAGAGGATACACCGGGAAAAGACTCCTCCGCCTGAGGACGACGGTCAGGATCCTCTCGCCGCGGCTGTGGCTCGTGACCACGTTCCACCATATACTCCTGGGTATGGCGCAACAAACTTCTCAGCTCCCCCAGGTGGTCCCGGTATTCCTGGGCCTCCTCAAGTGCATCCCGGCTTAATAAGTCCTGGTTTAGTAAGCCCGGGCTTACCAACACCCGGAGTTACGAGTCCAGGCTTCCCGCCGAGTCAATTCGGACATCTGCAACGTTCAGCTACAGTTCCGGTCTCTGGCTTGGCATCGCCCGGTCTCGTGAGTCCATATGGTGCTAATTTTCCCGGGTCGCCCGGGTTCGCACCTCCGCCACCACCTCAGAACATGCAGCACCACCCCACTCCGCCGCCTGTGCAAAGCCCTGGCCTGCCGCCAGCACCGCCAGGTGGATATTCCAATTACGGCTACAGCAGTACGCAGCAAGCACCTGGGGGTGTCGACTATAGTATCCACCAGCAGCTATACCGGCCAACGGAGCAAGAGCACTCCGCTAAGTACGGTGTGTACAAACCCAAAGTCGAAGGTCAGAGCCGGCTAGGCCAGAATGCGGAGCGGCTAGAGAAAGGCGTTACGGGGATGCTGAAGAAATTTGAGAAGAGATTTGGCTGAATATCTATGCATGAGAATATTTGCGAAATGATCTAACTATCTGGATTATTGTCTTTTTAGTTGTTCGTCTTGCTTTACTGATATAGGCATGGGTTAGGTTACTATGTATGCTATTAGGAAGTTTCGCCTATTGAAGTTGCAGTGCTAGCTTGGCTAGGAGAATCAACCAAGAGGTGAAACATACCTAACTAACCTCGAACAAATTTGGATTAAAAAAAAGCTTTACAAACATTATAAATACTACCTAATAGACACACTATTAGCATGACGTGACATAATGACCCGGCTTCGAGCTGTAGATTTACCCTTATATCATGATGGGAAAAAACAAATGAGAAGCCTACTGTGCGTTCATGAATAAGTCAGACGACGTGGTTTGTTTAATACTTCTGGTTCTGATAATGATTTGAATAATATATGCTTAGCTCCCTCAAAACTACGAATGGAGGGACCCTACCGGAGACGAATTCCCTTTTTGGACGTAGGACTTTGCATCCACAAGCCTAACTGAGAGTCAGCAAGACGATAGCTGCTGGTTTGCCAACGGGATGGGCTGTACCTGATGTATGTCTCACCGCCAAGCTGTAATACATTGCCGTTTTCGAAGTTCCAAGTGGTGATACGTAGTAAATCATGCCGTGCGTTTTAGGCAAGGAGGCTTGTGTATGTGTGCCTCACAGTAATGCGTAGCTCTCTGACTCCCTTTAGCTTGAGCAACGGCACCTAAATAGGGCATTGCGAAGTAAGGGATTCCGATTTCGAATTCAATTTTTGGAATTTTCCACCTACAGTGGTAATTGATATCTTGTCTTTCCCGCAGCCGCAGTCACTGCCACTGTCACGACGACCCGGATTCCCTAGGTTAAGCTAAGGCAACACGCAGCTCTGCCAAGATCGGACTGGGGAGTGGGGTGGACCATGGCGTTTCGCAGATGCTACCTTAGCGCAGGGAAAATTCCCAGGGACCCGGCAGCCCTAGCACGAATCGACCGGGGACGGAGATTCACAATCGTGACAAAGGCACGGCTCGAGAAAGGGTAGGGTATGGACCCAAGGAGGCGCAGTGGGAACTTCAGTGAATCCACAGCCACGTATGGCCTTGTACCTATGCCCTGTACAATACGGCCCTGTACGGCCCTGTAAGGCATGTTATACATGAGATAGGGCTAGTACGTAGTAAAATGATTTTATGAACGTTGATCAGGAAGGAGAATATCCGCCCAGACAGGAGATGAGGTACACGAGCGAAAAGCGAACGAGAAGAATTTGTCAATTTGTGAACTCTTTTCCTGTAGGCTCTCAGGTAATACACGGACCAGATAGGCCAGGCAACCCGATGACGGCCGAGGCTTCGTATACAAACTTCTCGTGTCGAGAAACGTTTTGTCCGGGACGGCACAAGGTCAACTTTATTTTTACCACGAAAGAAACATTGCGGGGGTTATACGTGCATTTACACTAATAACACTTATACTTACCTACACTTCTATGTGATAGTATATGTAAATATGGTCAATTATCTACGATATATATTAGCCCAGATCAATTGGTATGTCGGCATCCTCTTTATCTTCCTAATCCTCGAGTTATCGAGAATTAGATCCACGGATCGAAACCACGTTACACCTAGGTAACTGGTTAGGTCGCTCTTGGAACTGCGGACTGGGGAACCTAGTCTGCGTTTTGAGGGATTCAAGAATAATCAGCCTTAACAGGGCTAAGAAGTTAAATACGGCAGGGCGGATTTTTCTTCTTCTTGATAATAGTGATTCATGATTTTGCTTATCCCATGATATATGATATAATAACTCCTTGCTACATAATGCAAGTAGACAATTTGAATTATACAAGTCAGGTAAATATAGAATAAGGTAAGATGCCTCTTGGTAAAGACAAGTGAGGGAACCTTGGAAATGTTGATCTAAGAGAACTAAAATAAAATAAATAAATGATAGGATAGCTTACCTGCTCAGGTAGGACTTAGGTACCTGAGTAAGCTAAACAAATGTCTTAGCCCATCTAAGACAAGTTAAGACATGTAAATTGTAACCAACTAACCTACCTAGATGGTACCTGCTAACCAGCCAACAGGCGCTTGCCGGGACTTCGGTGTAGTAACCTAAATCTTTATTAGTCAAAAACGCTCAAATAGAAGGGTCGAGGCTATCTCCATTGAAATACCCTTGTCACACCACTTGTGCCTGCCTTTAGGTCCTGAAGAGGCAACCTGATGCATGTGGTAAAATCAATGCTAGGTTACCTACCGGTATTGTATTGTACATAATTGTACAGGCACTAGTATTTGAGGTAAGTATTTGCATTACCTAGCGGTAGAGGGAGGTACCTAACCTTCTAGGTACCTAAAGTGTTATAACCATCTTATCTGCTTATGTATTGTACTTCGCTTTTCCCCCACTCTCCGCCAGCAGCTGCTTCTTGTATCTGCGGCTTTCCCGTCTTCTTCTTTTCTATCTACGTCTCCATCTCCACCTCCACCTCCACCTTCATTTCTAATTGCTATCTGCTAAGGTATCTAATAATATTTACTATCTCCTACCTCGTGGCTTGTTTGCAGTTAAATACCTATTACTGCTTCTAAACATCGGACGGCTGTTAGTTTACTTTTCCGTACTGGCATATCCACTATATTACCGGCGCTTAAGCTCAAACCGCACACTAGGTCCGAAGATCATTAACTATTTTGTCCATCTTCGCCGAAGCCTGGATTGAAGAGCAGCTACCATTGTACATTTCTTCGTGAACTCGCGAAGCCTTGGGATCATCTACTCATCCTTATTATCTTTGGATTAGGAATTGTTGGATTTAGTTTTCGCAAAATTGGCTGTCCCCTATTAACAAGATCGGTCTGTCGTGAGTAGTGTGATCATCACAACATTCGAGTTTGATCTTCGCCAACTTTGCCGCTATCTTCCCCATCCGTGCCCGCCTGCACCAATCCCGACCAAGATTGCCTCTTTGGAATTACCGTCGACACAACCCATTCGCTTTGCCGTCATTGACTAGTTGCGGCTTTTTGCCGTCGTCAAGCGCACAGCGCTCATCCTGAGATCGCCTTGGGTTTGCTGGGTGCCAGCTCATAAGTTCGGGTGCGTCCCGACGGCGTCGCAAAATAGCAGATTATAGTCACTCGTTTATAACCTCACTATGCTACTTCCAAATCGCATTCCTCTTCCCCTTAGATCCGGTGCCAGTATGCTGGCATCCAGAGATACCGGAAGCCCTGGGGTTCAGGATAATGCACCATCTCAAACAGTATTCGTGGTAAGTTATCTTTTATCAGTCCTCCTTACTTTGATTAGCTGTAATAACAGCATATCTGTTACAGATCATTGGCATCCTAGGTGGTATATTACTGGTCGTTACTTTGTCATTCTGCTTTTACCGCTATAAGTCGAAATTCGGATTTGGACAGACAGAACGGGGAAAGTACCAACCAACAAGCGATACTGAGACCGTTGAGACGACTGCCCGGAATAGAAGACAGCGAGATGGCCACTCGGATCCTAGCCTCTCAGTCTCGCAAACGAATCAAACCAGCGCGGTGTCACGGGTGGATAGAAATACGTCTATTCGATCCGTCATAACTCTCCCTGCATATATGCCGAAGGCGAATGAAAATGAGCAGGTTATTGGCCGCGAGGGAGAACGCGACGGCGTTGACGTCGTGGTAGAATATCCGACTGCTGAGGAGTTAGAGAGCATGCGGGACGAAGAGATGGAGACATTATTCCAGATCCGATTGGCAAGAAGACAAGAGCGTGCCGAACGGGAAGAGCGGCGTCGCTTAACACAAGAGGCGAGGGCTCGCGGGGATTTGAGGACATTAGGCGATTTAGCAGCTCAAAGACGAGCTGCGCGTGATAACAGCGCCGTGGATGAGTTGCGCGATACGTACGGGCAGATTAAAGAAAGGAGACAACGTGCAGTCTCTAGTGTCAGCTACCATGAACTTGGGGTAGCGCAACTCAACGGTACGAGAGTCCGCACGAGTAGTCACGGGAGCGAAGGTGTAGGATTATTGTCAGATGCAGCCAGTATTGCTTTATCCACACGCTCGCCCTCGGGGCTATCTCACCACCGAGGTCGTAGCGCCAGCTCCGTTCTTAGCCTCGATAGTGATTTTCCATCCCCTGGGCTGAGGTCTGGTGCATCTACGCCACGGATAGGAAGTAATCACACCCGAGCCGGATCGAGCCCCGAAATAATCAGCGAAGCGGATCTAGGCGACATCGAAATGCCTCCACCGGACTATGAGGATGTCAGCTTAGATGATGCAAGATCGGGAGCTGCGACACCTCTCTTTAATGAACCCCCACCCGATTACACGGACCCTGCGCGCGGTCACGAGCGACGGTTAAGCGCACAGACTGCGGATAGGATGACAGAGAGCGAAGATGGCGCGACAACGAATACTGCACATGAAACGACTACGAGAGGAGTAGGCGGCGTCCCGCAGTTGCCCAGTTTACGGATTGGGAGATTACCGCGGATTGTAATCGAACCATCAACAGCACATCCCAACAACAACCCCGACAACCCCGACAACTAGATATCTCCTTTTTCTATAAAAGACAATTCAAGCTCGCAGTTTATGGATAAACAGCAATAGCAGCAGCAGCGGTGGCGGCATACACACGCCCACAGGTTGTGCGAGACAACACTAATTCAGCACATTGTATAAACTGTCGCCAAAGATAGTATGCGGTCAGAGAGCTATGGGCCAAATTCTTAATTTGTTAGTATTTGACAGCCCGATCTATATTTGAACAATTTTGAAATATAGCGGTGACATGAGACGGAATGAATGTTGTATCATTTCTTGCAAGGCGCCTTGCTGTATAAGGTTCATTTTGGAACTGAGAAGTGCCGAAGGCTTAAGGTGGGAATTTCCATCTTTCGTCTTCATGAAGCCCAACTTGGGACATAGATGCCTAGCTGGTAGTAGCTATGATATATATACCAGTTGCTGGGCTATTTACCGTAGTTCCCATTCACAGTTTAATCGCCTCTCGTTCATATTGGATGCCAACTCTGAATCTTTACCTATTACAGGATCGTTTCCAGTTTACCATATAGGTTACCGGGGACTTTTATATATTGTAACCTAATGTCTTCCGAGTCATATTTTAAAATTCCTTTTTAAAGGATGGCGAGCATAATAAAATTCCTTTTTTTTTTTAAAAAAAAAAAGGCTTGCCCCAACTAAGCAAGTGATCCAAAATGAAAGGTGGTATTATCACAGTCCTAGCGCTTAATGATACGATCTCCCGATAAATAAACAGAAGAAGAGTTATTGTCCGATTAGTAATTAACCGCGGACCGAAATCCCCATCACTGTCTTGCATCAATATGCCTAACATGATACAATAGAGGGTTACGGATGTAAGATACGGATTAGTCAAGGGGCTTTATAAGCCAGAGCATATATAATTATCTAAATTCCATTTCGAGTCTTACGTCCCTATATATTATTACTATTACTTTCTCTGCGATTTTGTTCTCGGTGGGTTAGAGTTGATAGTTCTAAGTAGGTGGTGAGAAGGGGAGCCCGTGGATAAATACCTAAGGGTTGGAAGGTCTGGAACTATTGACGACTTTCTCTAAAGCCGGTAGAAAAAGGATAATATCAGAGCCGCAAGCGCGGGTACCGAAGGCTACTATGGAAAAAGAAAACCACACCGAAAATGATAGCAACCTGGAATCGCAGATCGGGACGGAGATCTTCGAGGGCTCCGTAGACCGCGCTGAAGATGTGGAGACGAAGTCTCCTCCAAAGACGGCGGCGCAGAACACTCTTGATGTTCCGGAGTATGTATTCTTTTTTTTTAAAAAAAATTACTTTATCTTAGATCCATATCTCTTCTCCATGACACATCTTCCCCGGGTGCTGGCTTTATGGACTTACCTGGCTTTCTCCTATACTTACTCCGGAAACCCCCTTCTCTCACATAAACACTCCTATTCAACGTTCAACGAAATACCTGCTAACGTCATATAACCAGCGGTGGCCTAACAGCATGGCTCCAAGTCCTCGGGGCCTTCGTCGTGATGCTCTCGAGCTGGGGCCTCATCAACTCGTTCGGCGTGTACCAGACGTACTACGAGACGTCGCTCCTGGCGTCCAGCTCGTCGTCCTCGGACATCAGCTGGATCGGGTCCGTGCAGGGCGCCCTCCTCAACATGGGCGGCCTGGTCTCCGGCCCGCTGTTCGACGCCGGCCACTTCCGCGCCCTGACCCTCGCCGGCTCCGCCCTCGTCCTCCTCGGCCTCTTCATGACCTCCCTGTGCCGCTCCTACTGGCAGGTCCTGCTCGCCCAGGGCGTCGCCGTCGGCGTCGGCTGCGGCTTGCTGTTCCTCCCTTCCGCCGCCATCCTGAGCCAGTATTTCGCCCGCAGGCGCGCGCTCGCGCTCGGCTTGCAGTCCGCCGGCTCGCCGATCGGGGGCATCGTCTTTTCTATCCTGTTTAGTCGGTTGCAGCCGCGGATCGGCTTTGGGTGGGCGACGCGTGTGATAGCATTTATTCTGCTTGGGCTTCTTGTCGTGCCCTTGGTGTTCAGTATGTGGTTTTTTTTTTCTCCTTTTTCTCCTTTTTTTTTTCCAATCGTCTTCCTAATCTCACCCCTATAGTAAGGTAAGAACATAGCTAGGTAGGTTAAGTACCTAGGTAGGTAGCTTATCGGCTGACTTGACTTTTACTATTGCAGTGCGCCCGCGCGTTGCGCCACCCCGGCATAAGCGTGCTTTCTTCGACCGCGACGCCGTGCGCGACGTGCCGTTCCTGAGCTTCGCGGTCTCGGGCCTATCGGCGTTCATGGGGATGTACGTGCCTTTTTTCTACCTGCAGCTGTTTGCGCTGCGGCGCGGCATCGCGAGCGCGGACTTGGCCGCGTACCTGGTCACGCTGCTCAACGCCGGCAGCGTCTTCGGGCGCATCTTGCCGAACTTCGTCGCCGATTACCTCGGCTCGATGAACATGCTGGCGGCGATGACCCTCGGCGCCAGCGTTCTGGCGTTCGGCTGGCTCGGCGTGGACGACCTCGGGGGCACGATTACGTTCGCGCTGCTCTTTGGGTTCTTCAACGGCGGGGTTACGAGCCTGCCACCCAGCGCTGTCGTGTCCCTCACGCCGGATCTTGGCCGCCTTGGCACCCGGATGGGTATGCTGTTCGCGTTTATCGGGATCGCGGTCTTGGTCGGCACGCCGATCGCGGGCGCGATTCTGAAAGATGCGGATGATGATGGGGCTTGGAAAGGGCTGGTCGGATATTGCGCTGCGACGTTGTTTATGGGGGGGCTCGGGTTTGTGGGAACGCAGATATTGCACTTGAGGAGGGAGAGGAATACAAAGGTGTGAGCCTTATGTCGGGAAATGGCTCATATATTGTCCAGCTAGATGAAGGCTTCATATTATAGCTATCTAAGGTATGTTTTTACATATTTGAATATACAGACAAAAAAAATTCCGGCTGACAGTTATAACTCATATCGAGTCCTCACAGTAAAGAATGGATTATCCATTTAGGTCTTCAAACTATTCTATTTATTTGTCCTGATTATGATATCTTCCAAGTTGGTGAAATTACATTATTATGCACTTCGTAGGTAAACCGCAAGGCCCTTCGCTCTGCTTCTTTTCTTTCTTTCCTTCTGTCTGTGCGACAGGAGCAGGAGTGGTAGCAGCTGGCTTCTCTTCCTCTTTACTGTCATGTAGTCACGCCGATCCGGAAGCGAACTTAGCGACGGTCTTGTAGAACTCAGCACCCTGGATCTCGGCGATGGAGATCTCCTTGTCGCTGGGCTGGCGCGAGCCGTCACCCGCGGAGAAAGTACCAGCACCCCAGGGACCACCGCCGTGGACCTCAGAAAGGTCGGTCATAGTGCCGAAAGCCTTGGCGTAACCGAAGGGGACGTAGATGATGCCGTGGTGGGCGAAGGTGGACATGGCCGCCAGAGCAGTCGACTCCTGACCACCACCCAGAGAGGCGGTCGAGATGAAGAGACCGGCTAGCTTGCCGTAGAAAGCTCCGCTCTGCCACTGCTTTCCGGTCTGGTCCCACCACACACGCCACTGTGCGGGGAAGTTTCCGTAACGAGTCGGGATACCAAGCAGGAAGCCGTCGTACGACTCGAGAGTGCTCGGGTCGGACAGGACCGGAACATCAGCAGCCGGGCCAGGCGCATACATCTTGGCCAAGACCTCCTTAGAGAGGGTCTCGGGGATCCTGCGGTTTCTCGGTTAGCAGATAATAGGCAAGGGGATCGGAAAGCGAGCAAAGGCGCCTACTGGAAGAGATCAGCGGTGCCGCCGGCCTTCTCAATGCCGCGCTTTTCGGCCTCGGCTAGCTTGCGGACATGGCCGTAAGTGGAGTACTATAGCAAGACACACATTAGTCGCTGCAATGCTAGGAAATCACAACTCGAAGTGGAGAGGAATTTCGAGACGTTCGGGCGTTCGACTCAGTTAAGTCATGAATCATGACAGGTATGGAGTCTAGGTTCGGTCTTCATCGGGGATGTTCCAAATCCTTTCCCCCTGCATCCAAACGGGTCGCCCAAACGCCCTCGACCTCGGTAACTGTGTAGAATAGGGGAAGAAAAGAAGAAGAAGAAGAAAACTTACATAGACGATAGCGATCTTGGGTGCCATTGCGAGTTATTAAAGGAAAATAGGGGTATCGGGGTATCTAGTTGCTGCGCTTGATGAAGAAAAGAACAAGAACTGAAACTGTGAGACTTATAAGTATATTAGGGGATGAGGTTGAGATCACTGTAGTATGTTGAGCTGTGAATTTGTTACAAAGAGTAATAAGACATATTCAACGACGGCAGCCCGTCGACTTTATACTCGTATTTACCTTAAAGTACCGCTAAGCTAGTGGGTTCCGTCGACGGGGAGAGGTGGGGATGGCGTGCTTCTAGTTGCTTTTCCTGCTTACCTCTTTTCTTTATCATCGATTAATAATAATACGACTACGAGTTAAAGCATCGTGTCATGCTAGGTATGGGGGGGGATATGTCGCAACTGAGTTCGATCCCATTCGGCGGGTACACATTAGATACGGTTTGAAGTTCGATCTAGGTTAGTTAATCTTTCTCCTTGGCTTCCTGTCTCATTTACCTCTCGCTTTCATTCTTCTGAACTACCCCAGCGAAATGTCTGTCATGATCCCCACACCTCCAACGGCATAAGGTTGATTGCCGAGAAGTTTGTATAGTCGCAGTAGCGCCGCATCCCAAACCAACTTACCAGTTGATGTGTACCTAGGTAGCTTATGTTCTATTCGGCCACCAAAATAGGTCATGTCCCCCTAATGTCACCTTGATTCGATGTAATCATACTTGATTGCTTCGTAAGTACAATACTTTATTAGATGTTAAGCTAGGTACCTAGGTAGGTATAATTACGAACTACCCAAACAGCGATCTAGTATTCACTTGTCAACATGCAACGACTTCGTGATGTAACGGTGAGATACATGCATAGGTAATAAACCATACATCTAACAGTCTTCTTCCCTTATTAGTGTACTTGCAGATTTCTTAGTACGAGGCATACAGTTGAGTCTATCGATGCACTGTACATAAATAGTACAACCCCATACAAATTGAAGTTACCTATTAGTTCTCTCTCTCTCTTTTTTTTTCTTTTTTTTCCTTTTTCCTCATTGTCCCAATCCGGGACCATTTCTATCGTCTAGGTTGCTGAATAATGGCTTACGCCCGCTCGCGTAATTCTTATGCGATTCTGGAAAATGGGACCAGAGTTCCCAGTATTCATGGATCTTTCTATGGATCTCATCATATCCTTTAGATCGGTTCGCTCCGCACCATCGTCAAACTAAGCGGGGGAATTAACCCTGCAACGACATGTACCCGAAGATTGGGTCGGGAAAACCCTAGTATGTACGAAGTAGTGCTTTGCTTATTGTCGTCCCTGTCAGCCTGTCCGGCTTGTAAGCTTTCAAAAATGATAAATCAGCATCATCTAATCAGAAGCTCTCGATTGTATTGGGTAATGCTAGAATAATCTACCTGCCTTCACTGGGCTGGGAAAATCCAGCCATCCTGAAGCTCGTGATTCAATGCTAGGTACGGTACCCCATCGTATATCTGTGCCTTGCTGAATTTCAAATGCTTTAGAATCTAAATTCCCATATATTTTCCCGTTTATTTCATTATATATTATATAACCCATTCCAACATATCTTATTCCTACCATTTTCTACTCCTTGAGTAACAGACGAAAACTTGATCTTGTATACACGCAAAGACCGAAAAAGTGACGTCTTTTTTTTTTTTTTTTTTTTTTTTTCATACTCCGTACTTATTCTTTTCTCTGCATCCCGCGGAAAGATGTCAATCTAGAGTTGTATTGATGCGGTATTGCTATCTTACCATGCTACTTTGTCATGCTACTTAGATTACCGGCAATGTCGTCGCAGTGCAGATAGACAGCTTGCCCTTGTTCCCACCCTCTCCCTCCGTACCTGCTACCAGGTTACATAGTAGGTCACAGTTCGGAAGCTGGGCAAATGTCCAATCCGGCGAATCGGAATCGAGACTCCATAGGGTGACAATATCTTCTTCTAAAGGTGTTGAGGAGGTGAAGTTCATATAACATATAATCGAGCGTCTCATAACAGGTACCAAAGATAGACGCCAATGTTAGGTTAGGTGCTTACCTACCTCCTAGGTATGTTTATACATGTGCCTGCTTTTTAATTATTTTCAGATTTGTATTCTAAATGAAACCTTGACTGTGGTATCCATGATGCGCATGTGTGTTCGCTTCATGGTAACTTGTTCAATGTACCGCGGTTAGAAGGAAGTTTATTAATTACTTTAGTACTCGGTTAGTTCTCACTGAAGATAGTCTGCGAGATATGAACCAAGTTTTTCTAATGCGTGGTGAAGTACCTCCGTCTCGCTCACATAGCCAATACGAACAAATCCAGCAAAGGACGAGGTCTGGTCGTATTCAAAGCACCGAGCTCCAGGTAAAAACATAACTTTGGTCTTATCCAGAACATCCTTACAGAATGCCTCATCATCGACTGGATTCCCATTCTTGTTTTTGAATTGCACGAAAGCTGTAGTTCCTGCCGTCGGCCTCACCCAGGAGCACACAGACGAATGGTCCTGGATAAACCGGTCTAGAAGTTTCAGGTTTTCCCTGGCAAGGGAAATGTTCCGCGCAAGAAGATGCGGCCGGACAGAGGCGCTCAAAGCGTACCGCGCGATCTGGTCGTCAAGCTGTGACACGCTAATCGTAGTGTAATCGCGAGCGGAGGCGATGGCTTCCATGATAGAAGCATCTCGCGACGCAATCCAGCCGACTCGAATACCGGCTAGAGCCCACGCCTTAGACATGGAACTGGTAGCTATGGCCCTGGGATAGCCTATCAATAGCACGGACGGCGGGATAGGGCCTGACTCTAGGCTGTGGAAGAGCGGCCTGTAGACTTCGTCTGAGAATAGGATAATGTCGCGTTTTCGCGCAAAGTCGATTATCTTTTCCAGGACCACTTTGGGGGTTGTGGCTCCCGTCGGATTATTGGGATTGTTAATGACAATCATCTAGAACCGGTCAGCTGGATGAAAGAGTGAGGTATGTTACGGGAGTTGCTGAACCAAAAAGAAATATCGAAATACGTTAGGTACCTTCGTGTTATCCTTGACCAAGCTGTCAAGCTCAGCGACATCGGGTACATACCCATTCTCTGGCTTTAGCTTCCATAGGGAAACTTCAGCCCCTAATGATTCAGGGATAGAGTACAGCTGTTGGTAAGTTGGAAGGACGCAAATAACGTGATCCCCCGGCCCAACGAGGCTATAGAAAACCAAGTGGTTGGCTGATATGGCCCCCTGCATGACAATAACGTCCTCGGTAGATAGAGGAACGGTAGTTTCGGGGCTAGCATCTTCGTTATACAAGGCCGCGATATTCCGGCGTAGCTCATCCGATCCCCGGATGGGGCCGTACGTCATGGGTCTAGAGGTATCGACGAGCGGACGAGCATTGCTGTCCGGGTTGCTGTTAAACTGTGCAAGTTGATCGATCGAAATAGACGAGCAGCATGTTTCGGCAATGTTAAGTACTCCCGGGGTTGTCTCGTACCTGTCCATCCATTGCTCCACCTCGAACGCTGGGATTTTTACCATTTTAATTATTGAGTTAGGCTGATCTGAGTTATAAGCCCTAAGAAGTTCTACGCTGGTTCTAATAAAGCCTCTGGAAGGCAGCGAGACTTTTATGCGTAACGGGCTTTAACGATAATTTAGACGTCACAACAAGAAACATGCGTTATCGTAATGGGCACAACTCGGGTATGGTTGATGATTGATATAGTATATATAAACTTGCTGAGTGGAATTTCCATTAGTATGTTTTTTTGTTTTTTGTTTTACTGCATCACGAAGGGCGCGTTATGGGACTGTAAAGGCGGTGCTATTCGGGATATGCAGGTACACATTAGAGGTCTGTTTCTGTTACTTGGTTGCGGATAGGTACGACGTGGAATTCAAGTCTTTACCTAATGGAATATGAGACGAATTAGGCAGGTTACGGTGATGATACTCTATTCTATACCTGCTGCAGGATAACAAATAGATACCGTATTAGTTAAAAGGAAGAGGTAGCTAATTGTATTAGTTATCTAGATGGTTACTCCTAGCAATATTATACAATTATTATTACTTTGTTCAAAAGAAAATTTGAGAGATGTTCTTTATTTTATGTTCATAATGTTGTAGTTTGATGAGAGAACTATTGCAGGTAGTCTTATCACTATGTAAGTCAGTTGCTCTTAATAGGTAAAATCGTGGTGTTGGTATATCTGGTGGTCGGGGAAGATCTTAAAAAATCCCCGATAATCTCTCATATGGATATTGGGGAAAAGGTACCTTGCCTTGGTACCTAATCTTTAGCGTTACCTAGCCCAGCGCGGTTGCTCAGGCACCGCCCAGTGGTTTACCTCCCTGTCTCGGTCGGGTCCACTTCCCATTTCCCGAGCTCGGTTCCTCTATTGCGACCGTTCCTGTGCCTCTCTCAACTCTTCCAACTCTCTTATCTCACATTCAACTTGCTTTGGCGAGTCATCATCATCCGACTTTATAGTCGGTAGCATTTTGAATTAATTAATTAATTCCCCTTCTATCTCATCGTATTTCTCCATTTTTCTTCCATTCATACCATCCACTACATTGTCCTCGTGATCTATCGATATCAAATATCATCAAATCATCAAATCCCAGCGCTGACATCACCCACGCGCGGCTAGCTAAGGCCAGCGAAGCATCAGCCCAGCCCGCCTATCCAACGTTCGGGTAGCAGCAAGCAGCAAGCAGCCTGGAGTTGGTGTAAAGGTGCGCGTGGCGCAGTCAGCTGGGCAGGCAACCAATCCAAACCGATTCGCTATCCCGCTCTAACACGCTGTCTAAGAGCCGTTGTCTTGGAGCTTTCGTGGGGTTTGTATTATAACTTGGTTTAATGCAGCAGCCTATCGTTCACTCCCGTCTTTTCCTTTCGTCAACATTGCCAAAGTGAATCGAGAAGGGTATCCCACCATTATCCATCACTTCGTGCCTCATCGGCAAATGTTCATCATGTCGCCGCCGAGTATTCGGCTTGCGGCCCTCGGCTTGCTCTCCTTATCATGTCTTGTTGTCGGCCAGAAGAACTATACCCAAATCGACGCGATGCGAGCGCAACTAGCTCTCTTTGGTGACCGACCCGCTGATTGTCCTCCATGGTATTTACCCATCCCAATTATATCTTGCTTATCTCTTTCGCACGTTGACTTATTTTTTTATTTAGTTTTAACTGCCTCCTTCCGGCCTACGAATGTGGCCAGTACGCCGAATGTAACGAATATAACGGAAAATGCGAGTGTCCGGCAGGATTTGGAGGCGATGACTGCCTTGAACCTAGTACGGGTCTCTCTGTAGCTACAACTTCCCCTCGATTTACGCTGACCATTTTATAGCTTGCGGCTCGCTTGCGCGTGGCAAAGATCGACCGATAAGATCCGGCGATACCTGCGAATGCGACGAAGGCTGGACCGGAATTAACTGCAATGTCTGTACCCAAGATAACGCCTGCGACGCTCTTATGGAGACTGGGGACGGTGGAGTCTGTTACCAAAACGGCGAGGTTGTAAACCAAAACCACCAGATGTGCAGCGTTACGAACGAGAAGATCCTTACTATGCTCGAGGGCAAGATACCTCAAGCTACCTTCACCTGCGAAAGAGAAACGGGCATATGCGACTTTCAATGTAAGTGAAAAAAGAAATTAGGATGAGGCGGACTGCGCGACTGATCATGTCAACTAGTCTGGATTGATCGACTCGAATCTTTCTATTGTCACCTAGAGAACTGCGAATCTACCGCAGACTTCACCTCGGACCAAAACAGTAGTTACTACAAGTGTCCCGACGTCAAATGCGGCTGTATTAAAGATCGCATGCTTTGCGGCGCTGAGGGTTCTATCGACTTGACTGAATTCCTTAAAGTTGAAGTCCATGGTCCTGCTACTTTCAACTGTCTACAAGAAAATGGTGGCATTAATAACTGCAAATTCAAGGAACCTGCCCTGGATTGGATGGTAGAGAATTTCTTTGGCGACAAAAGTATTGAGCTGGAATGCCGCTCTGGCGAGTGTCTCTACCATACCCAGGTTCCTGGTTACGAGCGTCCTATCAAGAAGATCAACACACCCTTGATTGCTGGCGTTATTGCAGGATGCTCCTTGTTTCTTGTTGCCGTGGTCTTACTTATTTGGTATCTCTCTCACCGGCAGTACCGATATGGACCTATTCACCTTGACGATTCCGACGACGAATCTACTAAGCTGATGATTGATCATAAGCCGGCGTCACTCTACTTCGAGAATGTCTCCTACAACCTGAACGGAAAGACTATCTTGAAGGATATCAAGGGAATCGCGCATCCCGGGGAGATCACGGCTATCATGGGCGCTTCAGGTGCCGGAAAGACCACGTTCCTTGATATATTGGCCCGTAAGAACAAGCGCGGCCAGACGTCAGGAGACTTCTACGTCAATGGTGAAAAGGTCACAGATGCCGAATATAAGAGCGTGGTTGGCTTTGTCGATCAAGAGGATACCATGCTACCGACCCTTACCGTACACGAAACAATCCTTACCAGCGCCCTACTTCGTCTTCCGCGTGGAATGGGCCGTGCCGCTAAAGAGCAAAGGGTTACCGAAGTCGAGAAGCAGCTTGGTATCTATCACATTCGTGATTCTCTAATCGGATCAGAAGAGGGCAAGGGTAGAGGTATTTCCGGTGGTGAGAAGAGACGTGTTAGTATCGCCTGTGAACTTGTTACTAGTCCTTCAATCCTTTTCCTGGACGAGCCAACTAGCGGTCTAGACGCTTACAACGCGTTCAACGTCATCGAATGTCTCGTGATACTTGCAAAGACGTATAAGCGAACTGTTATCTTCACTATTCATCAGCCACGCTCGAACATTGTCGCATTATTTGATCGATTAATTCTCCTCGCTCAGGGAAAGACTGTATACTCCGGCCCCTTTTCTCAGTGTCAAGAATATTTCGACCAGATTGGATATAGCTGCCCCCCTGGCTTCAACATTGCGGATTATCTTGTTGACCTTACGATGCATGCTGGTTCTTCTGGTACCTTCGACGACGGATCTCTTGTGAACGATGTTGCGAGCGTTGGCCCTAGCAGTACGATGGCTGTCAAATCTATCTCGAGCATCTCTGGTGCTACTAGCATCGCTGAAGACAGCTCGACTGAACCGTCCTCAAGCCGACCAAAGGGCAAGCGCAAAGACTCGGTTAGGGCAAGGCAAGAGCGCGAACTGTTTACCAGAAGGAAGAATACTATTGATACGGCTGCGTCTTCCGACGTGGAAGAGGAGATTGGATCGTATAAGCTACGAAGACAACCTGCCGGCAGCGTTCCTCAAGTTGTTGTCGAAGATGTCCATGATTTTCCACCATCTGCTGAAACCAACCTCGATAGCCTCGTTCAAGCTTATGTCGAATGCGACATTGCTAACAGCATACACGAAGAAATCCAACAGGTTGTGGCCAGCGCTCGCCTTGCCAACGGCCAGAATGGCAATGCGGGAAGTGGTACTCCTAACGGTAGCGCAATTGGTCGCGGTTATGCTCGTGTCGGTTATGTGACCCAATTTATCATCCTGTCGCAAAGAACGTGGAAGAATCTCTACCGCAACCCGCTCCTCATGTTAACCCATTACGCTATCGCCATAGTACTTGCAGTTTTATCGGGATATCTTTTCTATGGTCTCACCGATGACATTCCTGGATTCCAAAATCGGCTCGGCTTGTTCTTTTTCCTTTTGGCACTGTTCGGCTTCAGCACATTGACCAGCTTGAACGTCTTCGCTTCTGAGCGGCTTCTGTTTGTCCGAGAGAGAGCGAACGGCTACTACGCGCCCATCACGTATTTCATCTCGAAGGTTCTATTCGATATCATCCCTCTTCGGGTTATTCCACCAATTCTAATGGGTGCCATTATATACCCAATGACGGGATTAGTACCGGACACGGCACATTTCTTCATATTCATGCTTGTTCTCGTACTATTCAACCTGGCTGCTGCATCCATCTGCCTCTTTATCGGCGTGGTTTGTAAAGATGCTGGTGTCGCAAACTTGATCGGCAGCCTGGTTATGCTTTTCTCCCTGCTATTTGCTGGCCTACTCCTGAATCATGACGCAATTCCCGCCGGGGCACTTTGGTTACAATCCCTGTCCATCTTCCACTATGGCTTCGAAGCCCTCATAGTTAATGAGGTTCTCAAATTGACCCTTGTGGATAGGAAATATGGACTCGACATCACTATTCCTGGTGCGGCTATCTTAAGCTCTTTCGGTTTCAATAACGGATCGAAATGGATGGATATTATCAACCTCGGTGTGTTCGCTGGTGTGTTCGTGGTGTTAGCGTATGTTGCCATGCATTTCTTGCTCGTAGAGAGACGGTAGAGTTGGTACCTTACCTTAGGTACCTAGGTAGGTAGATAGGTTAGGTACGATTGAGAAAGTTTGGGAAACAGATGTAGAATTATGTTGGAGGTACCTAATCTAGCAAGGCACTGGCCAAATTGGCATCTGATGCATTGCCTCAATATTTCCTGCATAGCTTGGCAACACTTGAGCTGGATAGCTCAAGGGCATACGAGGTTTTACTCAGGGCGTTCAAGGTTTAGGGCATATACGATATTATAGATGATAAATGTCGTTTTATACATGATGCAACTCTCGTGAAGCCGCTTAATTTACAAGTATAACCACGGTCGCTTTGACGGATGAATCTAGTAGTTCTCGTCCAAAGATCAATGCTGTGATCTACAAGTCATATATCTACAATGTGTGCCGCTCTTTTGAAGAAGTCATGACTAGAATTCGTCCAGCTTACCACCCGTCAACTCCTCAGCAACCTCCTTCTGCCTCTTGAGGGTTCGAGTCTTCTCCGACTCTAAGTTTCTCACTATCTGGCTTGTGTTACGAGCAACATCGTTGAGCATGCTAGCGACAGTCTTAGGCCTGCCTTCCTTATCCCAAATATTGGTAATTTCGGTGCCGGCAGCCGCCACGCCCTTCCAGTAGTCAGGGGCAAAGAGGCGGTCAACTTCCTCCTCGAGATGTTTCTCGTCGATGATGAAAGATCGCGCCCTCATGTACAGCTCCTGAATAGCGTCGCGACGGGCATCGCTCTTCTGTGCGGCTATGGCCTCAGTGCGTTCGCGCGACTCGACGGCCCGCTCGAAACGCTGCGGGTCCGGATGGACCTTGGTCTGTAACGTGCCGGCGTTGATCGAGCCGCGGGTTAGCCGGTCGTCCTCACGCTCGGGAGCGGTAGCGGCGGCCCGGTTGGCGGCTAGCCTGGCGGTCTGGCGCTGGAGCCTCCGAGTGTCGAAGAGCTGCTTTCGGGAGTACAGGGCGCGGATACCCTCGCGCATGTTCTCTCGACGAGAGGCGGCTATCTTGCGCTTCCAGGCCTGGACCTCGGAGCGCGGGGGCTGCTTGGAGCGCTCCGAGGAGGGTTCGGGCGCGGACCGCAGGAACCACTCGTCCTGGGGCTTGAGGTGGCCATCGCGCTTCTTGAAGATCTGCCGCGGGATGGGCAGGTGGCCCTTGACCGGCTTGAGCTCGCGCAGGGCTTCGATGGACTGGTCTTGCGGCGGGTTCGGCACATTTATGAAGAGGGGGGACTCCGGGGGGATCCGCTGTGAGGGTCGGCCGGCGGTGGAAGAGAAGAGGGCTCGCGATACGGGTCCTCCTCCTCGTGGGAGGAGAGCCGGCCGGGGGAGTAATGGTGGCATCCCGGCGAAGGGAGGGGGGTTCGATGTGGGTGTGCCGGTGGGCACTTTTATTATTATCAGGACGGAATCCCCTCAGCTAATTGTGGTCATCAAAGCTTTTGTTCCCGAACTTCCTTCGATGTCGACAATCTATCGCAATCGTCGGCGTCGGAATTCGGACTATGTAGGTAGTCTTGTGTTGAAATTGCTTCGGAAAAGTTACATGCAAAGAAATTGAGGGAGACCCACTTTCGATAAGTTCGGGTTCAAGAAGCTGTACTATGTACTATGTATCTCCGTGTAAGTGGGGGAGAGTTCCAAGGTTTCTGTGGGTAAGTCTCGGCAAAATCAAATTTGTACGCCGACTTTTATTAGCGTGATTAGATAAAGTTAGATAAGACCAAAAGTAAAGGAAAGGGAAAAAAATCCAATTCTTTCTTCCCCATCAGCCATTTTCTTTTTTTCCAAATTGAAACTTTTTCACATCCCCCCCCACCATTTTCCTTCCCGCCATACCTCTCAAGCTCACAAATTTGAGCGCAATGGGTACTGGCAAGAAGGAAAGAAACCGGCTGGCCCGGCAGGGCAAGTCCGGTACGGGAATGGACAATATCAAAGTCAAAGGAGAGAACTTCTATCGCTCTGCGAAAAAGGTTAAAGCCTTGAACATACGGAAAGACGATGGAAAGCCCGTGCGAAATGCTGATGGCAAGATTATCCAAGCTGCCAAGTTCCAGTCTAGAGAAACACCGTCTGCTCGCGTCGAACCTAATAGGAAGTGGTTTACCAATACTCGAGTCATTTCTCAGGATTCCCTCACGGCGTTCCGTGATGCCATGGCTGAGAAGGCGAAGGATCCCTACCAAGTTCTGCTGAAGACAAACAAGCTTCCCATGAGTCTAATTAGAGATAATTCCGACACAAAGAATGGTCTGAAGCAGCACAAGGCTAAAATGACTATCGAGAGCTCGCCGTTCGCTGATGCTTTCGGTCCCAAATCTCAGCGCAAGAGAGTCAAATTGAGCGTAGCCAATTTGGAAGACCTGGCTGAAGACACCGAAAAGAGCATGGATGCTTACAAGGACCATCTCGAACAATTGAAACTATTAAGCGGAAATTCGGGAGTTGATCTTGAAGGGCCTAGCGAGGGTCAACGCGAAAGCGAAGACGCCCTCACTCTGGCTATCGAGCCGATTTTCAGCAAGGGAACTAGTAAGCGTATATGGAATGAGTTATACAAAGTTCTTGAGTATGTCAAGGTCTCATCGTTTAAGCCCGGCCGCCCCCGCGGGGGGGGGGGGGGGGGGGGGGGGGGGGGGGGGGGGGGGGGGGGGGGGGGGGGGGGGGGGGGGGGGGGGGGGGGGGGGGGGGGGGC